GATTCTGTAAAGCCTGAGTCAACATAGTAGCAGCAGCCTCTGATGTACTTGCTATTACTATGTCATCAACATAAACCAAGACTACTACAAGATCATCACCAGAACATTTGACAAATAAAGTATGGTCACCATGACCTTTAGTGAATCCCATACTCAATAATGATGTGGAAAACTTCTTGAACCACTGCCTAGATGCCTGTTTGAGTCCATAAATGGATCTTTTGAGTTTGCAAACAGCATTAGGAGGAAGAGAAGTACCTTTTCTCTCTGCATATCCTTCAGGTAATCTCATAAAAATTTCTTTTTCTAGTTCACCATTAAGAAACGCATTTGAAATATCAAGTTGTGTTAATATCCACTTCTTGCTAGCAGACACCTTGAGCAACATCTTGATAGTCGCCATTTTAGCAACAGGTAAAAAAGTTTCAGTATAATCCACCCCTACCTTCTGAGTATAACCCTTAGCAACAAGACGAGCCTTATAACGTTCCAAACTCCCATCTGCAAGAAATTTTAGAGTAAATACCCATTTACATCCTACTGGTTTCTTTCCCGGAGGCAAAGAAGTAATCTCCCATGTATTAGTAGATTCCATCGCACCAATCTCTGCATCAACAGCTTTACACCACTCTTTAGATTCCTGTGCCTCTTTATAAGTAGCAGGTATAGGAATTTTGGTGATGTTATTGATATATGAGAGATGAGTAGGTGTGATTTGAGAATATGAAAGAGAGGATGAAATAGGATATTGAATATCAGAGTTTAAAGTGTAACAATGATAATCTTGGAGATGAGCTGGAGATTTCTTAGCTCTTTTCTCAGAAATTTGTGGTGGAAGATCAGAAATTTGTGATGGAAGAGAAGTATGTGGAATGATATTACCTGGAGACACAGAATCTATCGGTGTAAAGAACTGCAATGCTTCATCATTCTCCATATCTTTGGCCAAAGGGAAGATTTCCTCATGAAAAATAACATTCCTTCTGATAAGAACTTTATTAGTTTCCAAATCCATGAGTTTATATCCTTTATACCCTGCAGGAAATCCAAGAAAGTTACAAGCCCTCGATCTAGGTTGAAACTTATGACGTTGTTTAGGTGATGTTGACCCGTAGCATAAGCAGCCAAAAGTTCTGATTTGATCATAGACCGGAGCTTTACCAGTTAAGACTTCATAAGGAGTTTTATTCAAAAGAATCTGAGATGGTGTTCTGTTAATAAGGAACACTGCAGTCAATATTGAATCACCCCAGAATTGAAGAGGAAGCTTAGACTGAAACATCAAAGCACGAGCAACATTGAGAATGTGTTGATGCTTCCGTTCAACTACAGAGTTCTGTTCTGGTGTTTCAGGGCATGAGTGAAAAGCCTGAATGCCTTTATCTTGATAAAACTGTGTAAACTTCTACTCAGGTGCATTATCTGATCTTACTGACTTTACTCTGATGTTAAACTGATTTTCAACCATATTAACAAAGCTTGGGAAAATTGTGAAAACTTCTGCCTTATTTCTCAATAGATAAACCCATGTAGCTCTTGAATGATCATCCACAATCGTTAAAAAATACCGAAATCCATCCACTGTTTCAACTGGAAAAGGTCCCCATATATCAATATGAAGTAACTCAAAGTTAGAATTACAAATATTGTTTGGAGAAAGATAGGACAGTTTCCTCTGTTTGGCTAAATGACAAACATGACAATAAGTTAAGCCTTTATTCTTATGTCTAGTAGTGCCTAGAGACTTAGATATAACATCCAATCTATTGTAAGAGGGATGACCTAATCTCTGGTGCCACATACTGACATCAACTATAGCATTAACTGAAACCTCTGGTTCTTCAACATCCAAGACATAGAGATTTGCCACTCTTCTACCTTTTCCAATTGTCAACTCCTTGGTAAGATCCTAGATTTCACAAGAAGACGGATCAAATATAACTCTGAAATCACTAGTCAAAGAACTGATACTGATGAGATTCAATCGGAATTCTGGAATAAACAATACATTCTGAAGCAGAATATGAGCATTGATCCTAATGCTTCCAATACCACTGATCTTAACTGTAGGACCTGTTGGCAAATTTACACAACTCACAATAGAAGTATCAATGTTTAAAAAGAGACTCCTATCATGAGCAACATGATGTGTAGCTCCAGAATCTATAACCCATGTTTGAGGAGATATAGTATTCTTGGAGACTGTCAGGATACCAACAAAACAGTAGGTAGAGGGAGAAAAAGATATACCAGTATAATCTGACTTTGATGAACTTGCTTCAGTAGAACCAGATACAGGAGATGGAGGCTGTAACTGGGAACTGAAAAGAGCAATAAATTGTTGAAGCTGATCTTTACTGAGACTTCCAATCATACTCTCCATACTCTGTGAACCATCTTCAGGCTGAGGAGTCAAACTCACTTGAGCAACAACAGGCTTGGACATCCCAGTCACAGGTTTAGTAAAGCTTTTACCCTTAGGAGTAAAACCTAGAGGAAATCCATGCTTCTTGTAACATCTTTCAGCAATATGACCCACACGATTACAGAATGAACATATAGGTCTTCCTTTATTTGGTCCATTCTGAACATAGCAAATGGTAGGATCCATTCCTGAAGACACATCAACTTCTGAAACCTGAAAAGCAGTAGGAGAAACGGGCATGTTTGAAAATCCCTTTTGACTATCATCCTGATCAAGAATGTTATAGACTTCAGCAAGAGTGGGGAGTGCTTTTTTCATGATGATCTATATGCGGATGATTGCATAAGAATCATTAAGTCCTGCAAAAAACTTAACAATCTTAGCTCTCTCTGCCTTCATTTGCAGACGAGCAGCTTTTCCACAAGTACAAGGCTCATCAATCTCTTCAGTACTTTCCAAATTACTCCATAGAGTCTTCAACTTTGTATAATATTCCATCAGAGATTTAGATCCTTGACGAAGATCTTGAATCTCTTGTGTCAGATTAAAAGTTCTTGGTAAATTGCTCATATGAAAACGGCTATATAAATCACTCCAAATATCAGAAGCATCTCTGAGACGTAAGATACTCCGATATATCTCTGGTGACACCGAGTTAAGCAACCAAGACTTAATCATACTGTTACATTGAGACCAGAGACGAAAACTCTGATCCGATTCATCAGGACGAGCAAAAGATCCATCAACAAATCCTAGTTTTCCTTTAGAATCTAACGCAATACGCATAACAGCATCCCAATCATCGTAGTTTGTGCCATCTAAACGAATAGCAACAAGAGTCAAACCTGGATGATCCGCGCTATGGAGAAAAAATGGAGAACGAGTCAGATCTGAGAGATCCGGTGATGTATGAGCTCGCGAAGCTCCAGTCGTGCGAGATCGTGTAGCTGGAGGAGAGATCGGAGGAGAAACAACAACACTAGTAGATCGTGACGTTTTCCGGACTTCGATCGAGTGGATTCCCGCGTAACACGAGCTACAATCACCATTATAGACGATGATTTGAGCTCAAAAACGAAGAAATCAGATCGGAATCAATGGAAAATTGAGCTTGATGGCTCTGATACCATATTACGAAGAAGAGAAAACGAGAGAAAGTTGGTTATGAAAGTTGATTTTCTCATTCCAAGTGTCAAAAGATTTTGTACAATGTCTATATATACATGTATGTAAGACTATACAATGTGGTTAAGTTAACCAATTCTAATCTAGCTAATGAACCGGATATAACCATACTTCAATAAGAATCTTGGTCATTATACACTACAGAAACAAGGACCAGCGATTCAAGGGACGGGAGGCAAGCCGAGGAAGGAACATCAACGAGAATCTTGCGTGTTAGAGTCAATTTCACAAGCGTTTTGCTGGAGTAAAGACTCTTAGGCAAGCTGGTGAGAGAACAAATACTTAGCTTTAGCGTTAGCTCTCGAACGCAACGGTCAACTGCATTCGATATTAGTATATGGGCTTCCAACTTAAAACCAATTGGCAATGAGTGGAGAGGCCCATATATCTTATATACTAGTCAAAATCCATTGTCATTTCCAATGTGGGATAATATTATCCCTAATACGCCCCCTCGAGATGATGGCTCTAGCCATTGATCTCGGTATGCTCGGGCATGGATCGGCGAGCCAACTATTGGGCCGGGCCGATGGTGGATTGGATTTGGACATGTACGGATCGGGCTCTGATACCATATTAGAATATGGGCTTCCAACTCAAAACCAATTGCATCCACAGGACATTGTCGATAGAGTTTGATATGCAAGCTTTCTAGTAAAGGTGCTTTGTGCAGTTGCAATGACTTGTCAAGGAAGTCCCATAAACTTCTCTCGCTGTTGTAGCTTTCTATGTAGTCGAGTTTAGGTATCATCGTCCAGACAAAACGCCATCGTTTTGACACAACCATAGTTTTTATTGGGATAAGAGTCAATATCTGCAGCAATAAATCGTCGTGCAAGGCACTGATCCTGTCTCACTGTTGTAGTTAATTCTTATTGCGAGATTTTGTTGGGTTTGTCTGGGCTTAGATTGCTTGGTTAAATTTTGTGATGGAGAAGCCCATTCTTGGCCCAATACTAAAGATTATTACATCTCCCTCGTTCCTTGTTCGTCTTCTTCTCCATTCGAGCATAATCAATCTTAGAACTGTCAAATGGTCATCCGACCATGGGCTAAACCCAGTCCAAAATATTATGGACGGTCCGTGGTCAGCCCATAAATAAAATGGGTCATCTGGTCTAAAGACCAATTTTGGCCCAGTTTCATTAAAAACTAGAGAAATCATCTCATAACTCCCTTTTGGGAAACACCAAACCTCTTATATCCCTTTTTTGTCTACATATCCCCTTCTACATTAATGAAAGGTGGCTTGACCATTTTACCCTCTCTTTATTTATTAGTATATTGTAATTGATTTATTTGAATTTTAATTAAACAAAAAAAAAATCGAAACCCAGAAAAAAAAAAAACGACGGGAGCTCCTCTCTTCTCGAGCTCGAGCTCCACCTCCGGCGAGCTGCATTGTTGCCGTTTCTTCCGTTCTGGCGAGCTTCCGGCGAGCTGCAGTGAGACAGGTTAGTTCCTTTAGCTGCATAGAGCTTGAAATAGAAGTTTAGGATTTAGACAAAGAGATTCAATTCAATTAGATTTGGGTAATTGTGTTTGGGTATGCACATTGGAAGTTTATGCATAGTTTCTGGGTCGAATAGGTCTGTAAATGGGTAAGAAATGGATTACAACAACTGAATCATAGTGAATTGTAGTTTTGAACCCGAAACCATTCGATTTGAGTTCTTGTCGCGAAAGTACAATTGGTAGAACTGGGTAGAAATGTACATGTTTCTATTGAAAAATATATATGTAGTATGACTAGTTACACTAGTATTACTCAGATGTATGTAGTATTACTAGTTACACTAGTGTTACCCATATATGTAGTATTACCAGTTACACTAGTGTTACCATCTATACGTAGTATTACCAGTTACACTAGTATTATCCATATACATGTAGTATGACTAGTTGTACTAGTATTACCCAGAATTGTAGTACAACTAGTACAACTAGTATAACTGACAGAGTTTTTGTATTGTTTTTGCAGGATACAATGATGGAGAACGTGTACATATATTTTAAATGCAAAGGTCGCACGTATAGCTTGATGATGAATACATCAGGGGGAAAAATAACTCTCTCCATGTTAGAAAGTAGGATATGCACGAAGCTTGGATTAGATGAAAGTAAGGTTAAATTGCAAATGAGGTACAATGCAGTGCTGTTGGGACCAATTGAAGAGATTTACATTAGTGATGATGAGAATGTAGGTGTCTATATATCTTCAGGTGAAAATAACCGTAGATATGTTTTGAATGTGGACGTCATCACTCCACCAGAATTGCCCGAGCAACTGTCGAGAGTGGAGCTCCTCAATAAAAGTTCTGTTGGTAAGAACTATGCGGAATTGGATTCAAATGAGGATGAAATAAGAGATAGTGCTGCCATCGTTTTGTGCGAATGCGAGGAACAAGGAACAGAACCAAATGAGGCAATAATGGAGGTTGATGATACTCAAGATCTTGAGATTGGATCACGTGATGAATCTATGGATAGATGTGATGATAGGGGTGATGAATACGTTGAGCCACCGCCCGTTGTAGAACCTGGTCAGTTTAAAAAAGAATGGGAAGACGGTATTGGACTGATTTTACGAAAAGAATTTCCAAGCAGGGCGGCATTGCAGGAAGTGGTGGACAAAGGTGCATTTGCTAACAGTTTTGGTTATGTTATTAAAAAGTCTGATAAGGAGCGGTATGTCCTAAGGTGTTCTAAAGAAAGCTGTGCTTGGCGTATACGAGCTTCAAATATTCGGAATACAAGTATTTACTCGATTAGAAAGTTCAACAAGATGCATACTTGTACCCGGATAAGTAAGAGTAGTACAAGGATGAGGAAGAGGAAAGGTACCCCTGAATTAGTAGCAGCTCTTCTTCATGATACTTTTCCAGGACAAATGGAAACTCCAGTTCCTAAGGTTATCATGGAGCTTGTTCAGACGAAATTAGGTGTGAAGATATCGTACTCCACCGCATTGAGAGAGAAAAGGCAAGCCATTTGTGATTTAAAAGGTAGCGCGGAAGATAGCTACAAGGATATCAATTGTTATTTGTACATGTTGAAGAAGGTAAATGTAGGTACAATAACATATCTGAAAATGGATGAGGAAGATAAATTTCAATACCTATTCATAGCTTTGGGAGCTAGCATTGAAGGCTTTCAAGTGATGAGGAAAGTGATAATTGTGGATGTAACACATTTGAAGAACGGATATGGTGGTGTTCTAGTATTTGCCTTAGCTCAAGACCCAAATCGTCATCATTATATCATAGCGGTTGGCGTACTCGACAGTGAGAATGATGCTAGTTGGGGATGGTTCTTCGAGAAGCTGCTAACAGTTGTACCCGATACTCCAGAGTGGTATTTATGAGTGACAGAAATTCATCCCTCATCAAAGGCATATGTAATGTGTATTATGCGGCTCATCACGGGTATTGTATTTGGCATTTATCTCAAAATGTGAAAGGTCATGCCTCTAACGTCAACAGAGACGTAGTCGCATGGAGATTCATGGAGTTAATTAAGTCGGGTTTACACCATGGCTGAATTCGAGAGGGAGTACAGAATTTTTAAGCTAAGATATCCTTCTGCGGCCAATTATTTGGAGGATACTTTATTACCAGTATTACCATTATCAGTATTACTAGTATTACCAGTAGATTATGTTGTAAATTTATAAAACTAACTTAACAAATCCAAATTCAAATCATAACATAGCAAATCAAAATTAAAATCCTAACAGGACAAATCCAAATTCAAATCCTAACATAACAAATCCAAATACAATTCCTAACATAACAAAACCAAGTTCAAATCCAAACATCAAAGAGACAAATCAGTCAACCAAGCTGTGTCTTGCTCCGAGTCTTCATCTTGGTGACTTGTGCATCCACAGCTTTCGAAGGACCACCATCCGAAGGATCTTTCGGGTCACCATCCTTCTCTTGATTCTTCTCTTTCGGGTCACTATCCTTCTCTTGATTCTTCTCTTTCGGGTCACCATCCTTCTCTTTATTCTTCTCTTCTTGATCCTGCAATTGAACAAAGTTATATCACAGTAATACCAGTATTACTCAGTTATACCAGTATTACTCAGTTATACCAGTATTACTCAGTTATACAAGTATTACAAATCGTACCTTTCTCTTCTCTGCTTTCTGCGCCTCCCTGAATGCTTCCAACGATTTAACTCTTTCATCCAACGAGTTAACTGTATCATCCAACCCTGAAATCGTTACTATGATTTCATTCAGCTGATCTGTCATCTCAACTTTCATGTCTTGAATCATCTCCACCACAGCAACCAAACTCGGGAGTTCTTGTCCATCTACTGCGGGAATATCCTCACCACCCGCAATCTCTGGTCTTGCGATGATTTCTCGGGCCTGTAGATCCTGTTGGTACAACTCTTCAAACCTGATTAGACGGCCCTCTTTATGACGCTGCAACCAACTTTCAACCACCGGATCAGACATGTCAACGTCGTGTTCTTCTTGTGTGATTGCTCTCATAAGTGCGTGCTCTTCAATTCTAGGTGTGACGATACAATCAATGACCTGTAAACATAAACAAATATGGATTATTATAATTAAATAGAATAGTAAACGATTTCATAAAACAGTATATATAGGACAACTAACCTGAGTTGTACCCAATTCATGATTAATAGTATCTAGAGGAATGCCTTTCAAATTGTTCTTCTTGAACTTCACCTTGCATAGGCCTGGGCAAAAAACCCGGATCCGAAACCCGGACCGATACCCGAACCGAAAAAACCGGTTCGGGGCGGGTACGGGTAAGAGAAAATTACCTCATTGGGTACAGTTTTTGAAAACCCGTGGGTATCGGGTCGGTCCGGGTAATACCCGTTACCCAAACAGGGGACCCGAATACCCGAACATATAATTAAATATCAAAAATATTAATTATATATAATTTTAATATAATTTAATTATATAGAATTACAATTATAAATCTAAATATGTCAATTAACTTTAGACTTAAATATCCAAAACAACCAAACTATCCAAAAACTATTTGTTATGTTTGTCAAAATTTAGCAAAATGTATTCAAATATAACTAAATTTATTAAAATTTAACAAATTTTTAAAGTTTTTTCCGGGTACCCGGTATTTTACGTATAAAACCCGACATTTTAAATATAAAATATCCGAACCGAACAGGTACCCATATTTTTTGGGTATTTATAGGGTTTAAATTTTTTTACCCAAACCGACCCGAACCCGACGATACCCGAACCGGACCGGAACCGAATGTTTAGAAATACCCGAATGGATCGTAAATTCATTACCCATTTAACCCGAACCCGAACGGGTTTTACCCGAACCCGAACGGGTTACCCATATGCCCAGGCCTAACCTTGCACATCCTAGGACATCCCTCATCTGCTCCTGCAATGTCCTCAATGAATTTTTCCCTCAACAGTGGGATTGCCTCGAATGCAAGAAGCTACATAATAAAAAAAACATATATTTAGATTCAACAGTAATACCAGTATTACCAGTTTTCTAATATGCAGTATTACTAGTACTACCAGTATTCCTATAATAAACAGTATTCCTAATAAATAGTATTCCTAGTATTACCAGTATTCCAAACAATCACCAATTACTATAACTTGTAACTAACCTCTATCGGAAGACAGAAACCCGGAACCGGCCATATGTACTTCTCGTTGTCGGTGACAACACCATTAAAATGATCCATCGTGTGTGAGATGGTTTCTAACATGTACTCGAAAGAATACCTCCCCCACTGAAAATTCTTACAAAACGCAAGATCATTCACAACCTTTAGACAAAATTCATCCACTTCAGGTGCCTTTGCCCCGGTCTTGATAGGCGCCACAATAATGCTGCTTAGGAAATAGAGGACCATCATCTTCAACCTATCTTTAGATCTTTCACCCTTCGGTACCATTTCTATGAGCTTCTTTCTCACGTCTTCGCGTTTCACAGGAACATTCTTGAAATGCTTCGTCTTGAACTCCATACTTCCCACATTTTTATAATCAAGCGCATAATTCTTGCAATTGAAGCCCGATATCAATGCATGTTCCGATATACCATATCGGATTGGAACGCCATTGACGATGAACCACACTTCTTTCTTCCTATCAATGCGCGCCGTGTGAAGAAGGAGCATCCACATCCCCATAAGTCGGTGGTTTGGGTCTCTTGGCATGTGGAAGACGTGTTGGAAACTCGGATGATTCTCAAAAAATGTCCTCTCAGACTTGCTCATCGGAGGCTCCAACTCATCGAATGTAGTCAACACTTCGTGAATATAGCACCGAGTTGATAGCTTGATTTTCTTCACATATTCCGAAGGCGGGAAATACATACTCAGCGGTGGTATTGCTTCTGTTTCCTCGTCGATCTCCTGCAACAGAACAGACATTCATCCATATATCATTAATCTGCGAATAGTATTACCAGTATTACCCTGAAAATATACACATAGTTGTACCCCAGTAATACCAGTTTCACCAAGAATTCAAACACATAGTTATACCCAAGTAATACCAGTATTACCCAGAAATCAAACATATAGTAATGCCCTAGTATTACCAGTTATACCCAGAATTCAAACACATAGTATTTCCAGTTATACCAATACATAATAGTTTTATCATGTTCTACCAGTAGTACCCATATATACACATAGTTTTACCCTGTTCTACCAGTTTCACACCATTCAAATACTTACCATAGCATTTTCCGACGCATTTTCCGGCGCAATCTCATCCTCCTTACTCTCATCGGAGGAGGACTCTCTGTCCAAAGATCTACTACCATCATCGGAGGAGGACTCCTCTCCTTCTTCATTCCCTTCCTCATTCCCTTCTTCTTTCTCTTCTTCTTTGTCGTCTTCTTCTTCGCTCTCTTCTTCGCCACTCTCTTCTTCCTCATTCTTCTTAGAATTTTCTTCCTCATTCTTGTCAGACTCTTCTAAAACCGGACTTAAGGTCTCCGGGACTTGTTGTTCTCCCTCAATTGCCGTCGGGGATGGCTCCTCCGTCGAGCCTGGCTCCACCGTCGTTGTGGTGGATGGCTCCACCGTCGGGGATGGCTCCTCCGTCGAGCCTGGCTCCACCGTCGTTGCCTTTGCTAATCTCTTCCTCTTTAACCCTTTCTTTGGAGGCATTATCGGAGAGGTTTCGAAACGAGATACAAGAAATGAGAAAATGAATCAATAAAGTGAAGATGATTTCGCAATCGAGATCGCAATCTCTCAATTACAGTTTCTGGGGAGATCTCGGAGATTTGAAGAAGAGAAGAAGTTGCAAGAGATAACGGTTAGGGTTTGAATTGGGGAGAGTTTGAGTTTTCGATTTCAAAAAAAAGATAAAACGCAGAGAATCGAAGAGAAGAGATTTCGGGTTTTGGGTGGGTCGAGTCTGGTTCGGGTCTGGTTCGAATAGATCCAGGTTTTGGTTGTAATATTTAGATTTCGGTTGGGGTATACTGGTAAAACCAACACTATTCGAATTAAGGCCTTGAATGGTTATGGTTTTTACACTAGTTTTTGGTTTTAGTTTTTCTTAAAATCTATTTTGTAGCCATTCAAGATTTTGAAAAAACAAGTTTTCCTAAAAAGTAGGGAATCTAGTTTTTGAGTGTTTTTACAATTTTTCAAAGAAAACCAAAATCCATTTTTTTGGAGTTTCTCCCTCAAAAACCATCGATCACATTTTTCATTTCTTTTTTTAATTTTTTTTGTAAAGAAAAATATTATCTATTAACATTAAAACCAAAATCTAAACAAATTACCATTCAAGTTTTTAAGAAACTAAAATCTACACCAAAAACAAAAACCAAGAAAATCAAAAACTAAAAACCAAAAACCAAAATCCAAAATCCAAAAACCATTTTAAAAACTACAAACATTCATGGCCTAAAATTAAATCAATAATAATTTCTGTTAATAAGGGGGAGGTATGAGGTTACTGTTTGGGACTCCCCAGATGATTTCTCGTACTTCTTTTTCTTTTTGATCCAAGGATTTCAATTTGATACCGATTTTTGAAGAATTGGGATCAGGAAATGTTTTGTTCATCTGCTGCTGCTTGATGGAGTTTCGTTTAATTTCTTAGGACTTGTTCGAGAGGCACAGGGTCGTGTTTACTGTTGGAACTTCTATAGCATCTGTTGCTACGAGCTTGGATTGGTATGTTACTATTCGATATTTTGCTTACTATAATGTAAACCAGATTTGATTGTCTGATTTTGAAAATTTATCACAGAATGGGTTTTGTTGGTGAAATGGGTTTTGTTTGTCTTCAGATTTCTTGAGTTTTCTGTTTGAATTTGCTGCAGTGGTTGTAATACATTCATGGGAAAAGATTGATTTGCTTTGTTGTGAAATATGAGTTTGTCTTTTGGTTATTTTGGTTTGTGTATTTAACTATACAGAAACATCTTACATATAGAGTTTTTTGCATTGATTTAGTCTTTGTTGATCCATTTATCTGTTCGATGTGAATACATTAATACAATTTGATACTATTCAAGATTTCTTTTATTGTTTGCAAATTTTGGTTTCACGTTTTATTAACCCTTGAATGTTGTTAAACTATGAATGGTTTAAGTAGTGTAGTCAACCTAGTTACTGTTTAATTTAGTGTACATATTATGGTTTTGTTTTGCTTATGGTTGTGTCAAAGATAAGTTTACTAGTCTTAGAAGTCATGTTTAAAGCTTGATAAAAGAGGAAGCAAGAGAAACATAAGAATAGAGGTGATGATGATTGATAGAGAGAAGTGATGACCAACATAACAATTCAGTCACCGTCATATTAATCAAGTTCACTAGTCTAGGATTTCAGCTTCTGTATAGTTATATGTTTTTGTTCTTGTGTGTATCTTTAACAATATCAATTGTCTATTATGTTAAAATCTGAACTCTTTTCTATAGTTTTCGATTTTGGTTTTGTATTTTCTGCTTAGTTGTTTTCAATCCACCAGAAGATCATCAAATGAATCTGAATATATCTTCTTCTCTTAGCATCATTTTCGGATGTAAAGAGACATCATAGTAGTTAGAAAGTAGTTGCCTTGAGAGTCTGTCTTGAATCTGGTTTAATATGTTGTCTCATTTCTTGTGGAGTCTGTATAACATATAAATATCATCCTTGGTTTGAATCTGGTTTAATAGGTTGTTAGCGTTCGTGTTTATGTGTGTTTGAATCTGATAGCCTGCTCTTAAGATAAGCATCATAAGGGGTAGACATTTTTAAATCTGGTTTACATTATCTGTTTCAAATTCGGTTCTTGTCCCTTGTTGTTGTGTGTTAGCTGCTTTCATACTTTTTTACCATTGATATGGTTACTCGTCTTAGTAACAGATTTTGATTTATTATTTCTTTCAGCCAATTCTTACTTGATAGCCTGCAATTAAGTTAAGCACCAGAGAGCTTTCTCTGTTTCTCTCTTTTGTTTGTAGAAATACTTGAATCTGGTCTATGGTTCTAACTGAATAACCAGGGGTTTACTTTAGTACCAGAGAGCTTTCTCTGTTTCTCTCTTTTTTGTCTGTTTCTCTGTTACTTCAGTTTGTCTAACTGAATAATTATTTGGCTGATTCATGTATGTGTTTAATTGTTTCAGAAATATGGAATTTGATACATGACCATTGGGCTTTGGACAGCCCAATTGACAGTTCTAATCAATCTCTTCGCTTTGTTGTCTGAAATCAAGGCTTTGGCTAAGCTTCTTCCAATACCTCTAAGAATGGAGGCAACTGATATTTGGGGAGAAATTGAACGTTCTGAGAGGTACTCCTGAGAATTTGCTTAAATTTTATTTTTCTCATGCTTGCGAATTTTGGTTTCGTATAAGGAGAAATGAAATTTTGTCCAGAATTAGTTTTCACAAGAATAATCTGTCTGGTTTTGGTTTAATTATGTTTAGAATTTGTAGAAAAACGATTCAGCTCATACTTGACAAGAGAAACAAGTTGAAATGAAAATGCTTATTATGTTGATGACTCAAATTTATCTAATACTTGTAAACATTTTCTGTTTTCAAGTTGCGAAATTGGCTCAGTACCAATTTTGATTGCTCATTTTTTTTGTTTTTGTTTGATGTGTATAGTTACCTAGTGTGCTCTATCTATGAAGAGGCAGAGTCATTATCCTCTTCTATACTTAAAAGAATATTTGGAAACATTGATGTTTTATCTGAGGAAGCTATTGGTGATCATCAATTGCGTGATATGTTGGAATCTGCTGGTATGGTTTTAGTCCAATCCTTGCATGGAATCGGCAGGTATATTTCATGACTGTATTCAGATTTTCTAATATGACTAGTTCTTTTCCCTCTTACTTCTATTTGGAATTGGATCTTGTAAGAAACTTTAGAGTTTTGGCTATGTGATACTTTTTGCTAACAAATTCCTTTTTCATGCAGGACAGTTGAGATTGTAAATGAGTTAAGAGATGTGTTTGGTGAAGTTGCAGCTATTCCTGTTCAAGTTCTTCTCACTGGGTATCGTTCTTGTTCTGTTTCTTTGACATTATTATAGCTTCATACGCTTGAAAGGAAGGTTTTTGGTTATCTCTGAAATATGTTTCAGAACTAGGAGTAAATGACATTCATAACTGAAGAGGCCAGTGAGAGAAAAGAATTGAGAGGTCGTATTATTTGCTAGCTTTTACTTATTAAGGGGAGTACAATACTGCTCTCTGAATGCATTAGCATAGACAAAAAAACTGTAGAAACTTAGAAATCTATTTTATTGATCTTCTTCCCTTTTTTTTCTCTTTAGAATATGCCTTCAAATATCAAGTGGTTCCTACTCGGGTGTACGTGAGATTCTGAAAGAGTTCTTTAGCATATGGGTTTACAAGGACAACCACTATATCCTAAATGATGCTGGAGTAAGTGCAAAAGGATTCCATGAGAAAAACTGTTTAGATATTGATGAGTACATGGAAGTTGTGGAGCTGTATACCTTTGGAGTTCTTGCAAAAGTTTCAAACGACATGGGCCTAGCCATTTCATGGGTTGAGAAAGCTGCGTTACCTGAGGAAAGACGACAGGTACTATTGAACCCTTTCGTGAGTTGTGTATGAACTTGTGAATGTGTTCCAACTAAGACTCTACTCTAAACTGTCTATTTCAGGGGATTTTGAGAAGATTGCATTTGTTACTTTCTCTCAAAACAGCAAACGTTCCAGACGCTAGTTCTTTTGAGGAAAATCCTAAGGATTCTTCTTATGCTGTAGTGAATAACAAGAAGTCGTTGGCTAATGAAAAGAATGATGAGATTGATTATGTCCTGAAACTCTCTAAACAACATGAACCTTGGTCACTTTGGTCATCCCATGCTCTAAGCCTCAAGGTTGGTAATACCCAATTTAGCATGTCCAGGGGAAAGTTTGCCATAAGCCTTGTTGGATTAATCATATGTTATGCCTTGAAGAGAAAACGAGCTGCTTTGATACGGTAAGAATCCTTCTAAGCTTGCTTCATACAGTATGCTTGAATGATCAGAAGTTGTGTGATGAAGAAATACATTGTGAACCACAATATAAGCTGTGTGTTGTTTCTTTACTTGTTTCAGGATCATTCGCAGGCAAATGGAGTCCACGAGAAAAGCAATAGTAGATTTCTGGAAGCTTGCATTTTCATACCAAGTGAATCCTCTTGCAGCAATTCAATCCATACCAAGCACCACAACATGAGACAATTGGTGTACAATTCCCACCGTCTAGAAGATGGATCAGATACCTTATTTTGCATTGAAATAAAGCTGCACCCTTTTTAGGTTTCGGCTCAGGCTTTATCACACCTATATTTAGCCACTGAAAGTGTGTTGTATAAATTAGATTCATATTCAGTTTTGTCTAGAAAATGTCTATCTGTGTTAAACCAACACTAGCCTAAGAATTGGTAAAGATTCTCCCGAGAGTTCACAATTACTGCGAGCAAACATATGAATTTAATGACTTAATGATGAGGAAATACCAGAGTAACAGTCTCAAATACTTAAATACATTGGCTCAAACTTACGTCTCCGCAACTCATCGTGTTAAACAAATATCAAATTAACGAAATGTTAGTGATTTCAACTATTAATATCATTGACTCTAATGAGTCTAAAACATGGAGGACTATTGATGCAACTCGTGAGTGCCACTAATTGGTTTGCTTCAGATGAAGAACAGAAACAGTTTGGCGTATTCTTACTCAGTTTTGATTATACAACTGAAAGATTTAGACGTCAATGTCTTCCGTATCAGTGTCCTATTTTCGAAACTGTGTCTCTATCAGTTGTTAGAGACGAGAAGCTTTCGGTGTTGTTGCAACGCGAAAGTAGATCAAACATAGAGATATGGCTGACAAATAAGATTGGTGAGACCAAAGTGGTATCGTGGAGCATGCTCTTACTCTTTACACTAGATGTCCCCTCCGAATTTTATATATGGAATGGAATAAGTTTCTTGGTCGATGAGGAGAAGAAAGTCATCGTGTGTTGTGACAAATACATGGTAACTGAATTAGACGGCAAAAACTTGGTCTACATTATTGGAGAGGACAATAAAGTCACACAAGTTGATTTTGGATTAGTCGAATGTTGGCCATTTTTGTTTAACTATGTTCCAAGTATGACTCAAATCCACCAAGGTCTACTAGGAGGCAAAAGAAAAAGAGATGAATAACTAATAAGGTTACTGGCAAACCTTTTGGTTTTGTTTGTTTTTTGTTTCCTCTGTAATTTGTTTTCTCTTTTCAGTGTTAGCTTGATCAATAAACTGATATTTCGACTAATAAATGTTTAAACTGTGCAGTATGCATACTTCTTGCATTACTTGATCACACTTTTTTATTTTTTAAGTATTATGATCAAGAAAGATCTCTATTAATTGTTGCTTACAGAACTTTCTTTGACATATGATTCACATAAGGTTTTCATTCTTACCTGCGTAACAAACGCAAAGACAGAAAAGCTGACCAACCTAAATGAAATATGAATATGAATGATCCTAAAAAAAGGCAAAAAGTTTTTCAAATATGTAAGTGTATGTATATTGGTTTTCCCTACCAAGATATTGTCTTATGGTGAGTTTTTAAGTACTTGTCCGGTTCTTGAGGTTTTGGTATTGCTGCTATGGACGAATAACTTCATATAGTCAGTTGCAATCTAACACGATTACTCGAAGCCAATTTGCAAATTCGAAAGAAAAAACAAAGTTACAACAAAACTGACGACAAACCACTGAACTATAACCTCTTTATACGGCTTCCACATTGAGATCAACTACCAATGATATGGCCTATGAATTCAAAGGTATAACGAAGATCCGACCAAAAGACGAGGAGAAGAATCATCCTTCCTCCAACTGAAGACAAATATTCATATATAGAAATTTTTTTATGTTTTGTTGTCATGTTCATAAGTGTAAATTGTCAGACAATTGTTAGAAACCAAACAATAAAATAAATGACCATTCAAGTTAATTTTACAACTAAAGTCTAGACCAGAAACAAAACTCTAAAACCCAAAACCAGAAAATCTCATCATAAAGCTTAAGCCTTATAATATAGTTTTTCAAAGCTTGCTAAACTCCCATCATCTTCACCATCATCATAGAAAAACCCGAAGTTGTCCAGGAAGTCGCGGTCATATTGATCCGGAGATATGTGGCTGCTCGCCCATAGGCTTCAAGTTAGATTCAGGGACGGTTACATTGTCCCGGGAGTAGGGGTGACTTTGATTTGGAGGAATTTGGCCACCAAAATGTGGTTGTTGGCCCATAAACACCAAGTTGGATCCAGGTTACATTGTCCTGGGAGCAGTGGTAATAATGATCCGGAAGAATTTGGTCTCCAAACTGTGGCTGCTGGCCCGTAGAATTCAAGTTGGATACAGGGACGGTTACATTGTCCGCATCTCCCAGAGGCATGTCATGGATACTCATGCGTTTCCCCTTTAAAAAATACTTGTGAGCATGGCTTGCCACTTGCATCGGGCTCCTTGTCTTCACACATTCCCTCGCTATGCTCTTCCAATCTCCTAAATTTCCCATACTTGTTTAGTCCATCCAAAAACAATCTACAAAATTAAATATCATTCATTAATCAACCAAAAATCAACAATATTATATTCATCTATATTTAGCAAATACGTGACTCTTACCCCTAACCAACAAAACCCTAATTCATCAACCCTAGCAAGATTTAAACTGTTATGCTATATACTTTCCCTAGTCAACAGAAACTCTAATCCATAATCCCTAGCTAGCAAGATTTAAATTTGGACTTTGAAACCACTCCAAAGAAATACTTTATTCATAAGTCTTTGACTAACTTGTGTTCGTTTGGTGACCAAGCTATTCCCTTCTTTTTCCCCGTGCCCTGGTTTTTGGACTTAGTCGCTTCCTTCAGTGACACGTAATCATCGTCCCTGTAGTTGGGCAAAGCAAAATTACCCGATTCGATCAGCGCAACATCGTCGACCAACGCTTTGGTAGTAGTACTTCACATCCTTCAACGGTTTCTGCAGAAACTGAGCGATATTCTCCAAAAAATACGGCGAACCCTCTGGGAATTGAACCAGAGCTAACTCAAAACGCTTGTCATCCAAAGCGGAATTTCATCCATAATATCCAAGAAAAAGAGAGCAATCTCGAGATCGCTAAAGATCAGGAATCTGATAGAAGCGACAAAATAAAAAAAAAATGTGTTGAAGAAATTTTTTAACGTTTCCTATCAGATTTATTATATAGTGAGAAAATAATAGGGACCCTCGTCTATTCTTTATTTAACAAAAGAAACCCGACTTATATATTTTTATTTCGTTCTTAACCCCCATATTATTATATATCTAACTCAAATAGCTCTCTTTCTTTAAAAGTGTTTATCAAAAAAAAAAAAAGATTTATAGTTTGTTCAAACCGGTCTTATACACTTGATCAATCATCATCATCATCCCCCTAAACTCTAAAACATCATCGTCAAGCAAAACTCATCATATACTTGATATCGTCATCATCCTATACACATCAAGCGAACTCATATCCTCCTATACTGAAACTAGAGAAAAGGAACAACTCCAAGTTAGACTCCAAAGTTATCTGGCTTGCCCATGGTAGACTCCGACGTTATGTCATGGATACTCGTGCGTTTCCTCTTATTAATGTCCAATTTTTGCCTTTTGTCATACTTCTGTGCATGGCTTGCTACTTGTATTTTGGTCCTTGTCTTCACAAATTCCCTTGATATCATACTCCAAGCTCCTTTCCCATACTTGTTCAATCCATCCACAAACAATCTAACACATTCAAAAGCCCGGCCATAAGTAATCAAGGTCAAAACATCCCCTCATATTCATCATCTTAATTCAACAATCTAAAGACGTTAATCAGAAAAATCAATCCCCAAGATTATCATAATCAACATTCTTTGTAACAATTTAACTCTTAACTTATACTTAAATCAACAAAATTCTTAGTAAGATTTTATAATCATCAACTCCAGCAAGGTTTAAGACTTTTAATTTCACAATCAAAAGAAACCCTAATTCATAAGTCTTTGACTAACCTGTGTTCCTCTTCTGTCCAAGGAATCCCGTGTTTGGACTGAGTCGCTTCCGTCAGTGACACGTTATCGTCGTCCGGGTACTTGGGTAAAGCATACTTACCCGATTCGACAAGCGCAACATCGTAGACTAATACAGTTAAACTCCAATTCTCACCAAATCCAACAAACACAATTCCAATTTCAATTCAATATTCAAACGGAGGAGATCCAATGTTCCTAAAACAAGGAATCTCCAGATTCATCTTGTAAGAACCCTAAGTTCTTCACAGAGGATGAATCAAATGTTAAATCCAGAAAACTCAAAGAGAAAGAACAACAAACTTCACAATTTTTCACGATTAAATCCAATTCTGATCTTCGCCTTCCTTTAAACCCAACAAGCTCTGATAAATTCATCTCAGCCGTTGCTTCTTTCTTTTAATCACCACCGTCCACGTGTTCACTCTACTTAGCCCTCCTTTTACTATATCAAATCCTTCCCTCCCAAACAACCATGCCCTCATGGTTGATAAGAACTATCAGTAGCGTTATCCACATATGCATTCGCCCACATGATTAAGACCATTGTGGCTGCTCGACTTTACGGCTGAACCATTTGAACCGAAGAAGTTGAGTGGATATGTGAACGTTGCCCTCAAGAATAAGAAGCTGTCCTGAACCCTTTTTAACTCCCGAAAAGAAAAATCTCTGTCTCATCCACATTTGACTATTTAACCAGAACCACAATGTCATTGTAGCTTCAGCTTGACGTTCAAATTCCTTAAAACCTGAACCTCCGGGATCCCAAACTCGGTTGTTAACGTCCCACCTCTGAATTTCAATTTGCATTTTGTAGTCCTTTGAGCTGGTTTTGAATTTGAACATCCAGTTCTTCTTACTTTGCAACCTAAGAAGCATTGTACCGAAAAAGTTGTGTTCAATACACTGAGAGTATGAGATTGTTGTTTGTTTAAAAACAAAAGCCCTCTTCGCATGTGATCCAATCATCTCTTCCATTCTTATTTCCAGAACTGCAATCGACGGTGACATTTCTTTATCAACAATCTGCACCTCCATCTTCATTTCATTTACTTTCACAGAATACAGTTCTGCTTTCATCCATTCTTCAACACGAGATGAACTATCTGTAATACTGTTTAGAACCAACGCTTGAAAACAATCTAAGCAGCCTTTGTTCTCTGAACACAACTCGTGTCTATCTTGATTCAACAATGCTGTCTCCGAATTCGCATAAAGAGCTCTACACCATTGATCCCTTTCTACGCCAAAATCTCTGTCACAATTCAGTTCTTGTTGCTGCTTATCCATTCCAATAGAAGTCACTTGCTGAATTAAGTGTTTCTCCTTAGAGCATTCCTTATTCTTATGTAAGGAAATACACACGTGAATGTTACTCAAAGAAATTTGAGTTTCTTTCTGATAATCACTCTCTGTTCCTATAATCATTGCTGCTTGAACTTCTCCGACAACGACTAGGCGCACAAAATACTTGACATACACAATAGCAAGTCCACCCAACAACTTTCTCTTCCTTGTGGTGACCAGCCTATTAATCCTAAGATCACAAAAATCTGGGAAAGATAACACGTGATTGTGTAGCCTCCATAGTCTCTCATTCTCTTGTTTATATTTAAACATCCAAGACTTCAAGCCTTTCCTCTTTTTCTTCAATTTCAATCTTTCTTTATGCTGAGATCTTTTACAAAACAGTTGGCGTGCAGAGCAAATTTTTGCAATACTTAACACTTTCTTGCCCCTATCAACATCACTTGTAACCTCAAATCTCGTATTAATGTCCTGCTTAGCCCAATCTTGCTCCATAATCTCGGCTTGTTCTTGAATCAATTGATTCTGTTCAATCCCAGAATCTGTTTCACATTCTTCTATCTTGAATCCAAACACTTTCCCATTATCCGAAAATAGTTCTTCATCACAAGACTTAGCAACATCCATTTCTACCAAATCTTTCTTCATCATCTCAACCTCATTCACGACCAAGTCTGAATCAATAAGGGATCGATCTTGATCTTCATCATAATCGGTTTCACCAGTCTCTAATTCACAGCCATATGAATTCGACAGCCACATATCACTCGATATCTCAACCCCAATTTCTTCAAATTCCATAGCATTAGAGAGATAATCTTCACTATCAATCATGAGAATACCTGAGTTCTTGTGTTGTAGATGATGATTCGGAGTTTCTGGCTCTTCGCAAAACACACATAAACCCTTCAACCTTCTCTCGTCAATCTCTTCACACGAGATTCTCCGCTGAATCTTGTATTTGCGAGTAGACAACAGTGATGAAGCGTTCGGTGCATCTGGAGCAACGTTGTCCCCATAGTTTGGTTTAGGCTCCGGACGATTGAAATCCGGTGACTCTGAAAGTTGCGGCGAGGCTGGCCGAGCATTGACTTGCAGATTCTTCTCCTCCGCGTTCCTTGATCGCAACAACAAGAGCAGAGCATGAATTCGTTCCCCGATCTTCGTATTCTGATCCGCGATTGTCTCTTCCAATTTATCTATTCCCGATCCAAAAGTTTCGTCAACTTCACGAACCATTGCTTCTGCAAACAAGCTTTTAGATCTTGTATCTGCCATGGATACCGAGAATCGTCTTCGCTCTGATACCTTTAATACAGTTAAACTCCAATTCTCACCAAATCCAACAAACACAATTCCAATTTCAATTCAATATTCAAACGGAGGAGATCCAATGTTCCTAAAACAAGGAATCTCCAGATTCATCTTGTAAGAACCCTAAGTTCTTCACAGAGGATGAATCAAATGTTAAATCCAGAAAACTCAAAGAGAAAGAACAACAAACTTCACAATTTTTCACGATTAAATCCAATTCTGATCTTCGCCTTCCTTTAAACCCAACAAGCTCTGATAAATTCATCTCAGCCGTTGCTTCTTTCTTTTAATCACCACCGTCCACGTGTTCACTCTACTTAGCCCTCCTTTTACTATATCATAGACCAATGCGTCGTAGTGGTACTTTACCAACCCCAAAGGTTTCTGCAGAAGCTGAGCGATGTTCTCCAAAAACGACGGCGAGCCCTCCGGGAATATCACCAGGGCTAACTCAAAACGCTTGTCATCGTCCCTCGTCCACGGCGGAATCCAAGCCATAATATCCAAGAAAATGAAGAAAAAATCGCCAAAAAACAAGAAGAATCAAGAAATATCGTTTGTGGATTCTGTCACTGAAGAGGGTTTGTTATTGAGGTGATTTCGCCGGAATATAATAGGAAATTACAAATTTAGCCCGCAATTTATATTATGTTATTGAGGTTTCTTTTTTTTTTTTCCGTTTCCTATCGAATTTATATTGAGAAATAATAGGGGAAATTGCAAAATTTACCCTCATCTTTTCTTAATTTAACATAAGAAACCCGAGTTAAACGTGTTTACAGGGCCCTTTATCACAGAAAGAAAAAAAGATTACTTTTCAGTAAAAGAAAGAATTCACAAGTATAGCTTCTTATAAAATTTTGGTCTTAGCTCCTATATATATAAACTAGATCATGACCCGCACGTACGTGCGGGGTTTCATATTTTAATTTTTTTTTAACAAAATTTAATTCAATATAGATTATTGTGTTGTTTTATGATATTTATTTTAGTGTATTAGATCTAGATCCACATACGTGTAGAAATATTTTTATAGAAATTGTTATATAGATTTTAAAAATATAAAATATTTTGTTGTATTAGTGAACTTCGTAATAATATAAATATTATAAAGTTAGAGTAATTAACAAAAAATTCAGTTGCATTAATGCATAATTATATTTTAAGATCCGTACTAATTTAGTTGCAAAAGTTAAATGGTGTTACATTTTTATTTTCTTAACTAATCAAAATAGTTCTAACAGTTTGATTACATATGTTAAATAGGATATGAATTCGGTTTTAGTTTGGATTATTTCATGTATATTAGCAAGGCGTAACTATTTTGGAACAGGAAACATATCCTTTCCGGTATCTGTCATAAATTCTTTGTCCCATAACCTGTCACGTACACATAAAATAAAAATATTACGGTCCCATATCTGTCATAAATAGAGTATGTGTAACTGAAAACGTATGTACATGGTTATGTGTAAACAAATTTATTCTATATAGTGCTCATAACCCGAACTCATACCAGTTGGGTATTTAGTTTGATTTTTAATATATGTTCCCCTTCCATCTCGTCTCGTAATTTCTATTTCCATTTTATTCCATTAAAATTATGTTCCAAATTCTTGTTTGCTTACCTTTAAATACCATACAATATTACAATAAATACTGTGAGTTTTGCGGATTAATATGTATGCTGTTAAAGTTATAAATATATTTTAACAAATTTATTAATGTTTCTAGCTAAATTTTGCATATTTTTCTTTTCATTGTTTAATTTTAATTAATTCGATTTTTTGGACTAAAACTAAAATTTGAGATATATCTATAAAAGGGATATGCTATTGCTGCATAATTTGTTTTGAATGCAAAATATATAATTAGTTCACATTATTTCGAAAACTGTGTGCAATATATTATAGAAGATCCGGTTGAGAAGAAAAAAAAAGAAAACACAAAATATTTCGAAATTAATATGTACAATATATTGTTTAGATATTTCTGAAACTTGCTCTAAATGAATGCCCAATATCGTTTTTTAGAAATTGTGAAATAAAATTTTGTTTTATATTTCAAAATTTGTGAAAATATTATAACAAAACTGAGTCTTAAATATTTGTATTTAATTTTTTTTATGAAATTTCAAATTCAATCTTAAAATTTTCCATTGATAAATTTTTTTAAACTATAGTGTTTTTAATTTTGAATTAAAATGGTATTATTTTTCTTTTTTATTTTTGATATAGAATAGTTTATTAGGATTGGTTTAGATTTTAGTTGGATATCAAATCTTAGTTTTTTAATTCTCATTGCTTAACAACTTTTTAGAAAAAAAATTTAAATTTTCGTCCATAATTAATAAGAGAGAGAAAGTGAGTTTAATTTTTTGGAAACTAATAATTACTTTAAAGAATTTTATTGTTTTTTATTTAAATATTTTATTTTGTGATTACTATTGTATATTTAATGAATTTATTTAAAAACTAAAATCAATGGCATTTTTGTAATACTTTACACTTTATAAGGTTATTTATGTTTGAGTGCTTCCCAATTAATAGTATAGATTAAATATACTGAAAGACAGATCATTTAATTAGTGTGATCTACTATTCATTTAAAAAAAAAAATAATATCTTGGCTTTTGTTAATGTTTTGAAACTATTTAAAATAAAAACTAAGATATAATCCTATACTTGATATAATCATTGATTATCCTATACACTTGAACTGTTCCAAGTTATTTTGTTACTTTGGAGAGTAATTAAGGAGATTTCAAGTTATTTTGTTTCCTATTGAACCCCAACTTTATATATACTACTTAACTTAAAAGCTCCATTTAGCTAAGAAGAAGAAACGCAAAAAATAAAAACATTAAAATATGTATTATTTTAATGGTTAAGGAAAATAAAATATAGCTGGCCACAAAAGTAAATAAAATATGGTTTACAAAAATGGAAACCCCAAATCTTTAATATACAACACAAAAATAATCAAGGGCCTTCAATGTCTTTAGGCTTTAATTTTTTTTTTTTCCCTCTAGATTTATTATTTATTGTAAATTATGAGAACTGTTACATAAACGATTCTAACTCTGACAATTCCTTCCGACCCTTATTAGATCCACGACAGACGTCACCTCTTTCACCTCCTTCTTCATGCTCACCTCCTTCTTCATGCTCACCTCCTTCACCTCATTCTTCATGCTCTTGATGGACACTTCCCTCTCTGCGTAGAATCCTGGCGAACGGCTATAATTGTACATCGCTGGAGATCTCATGCACACTTGCCTCCAATAATCTGCAAATATATTAATAAATCATAGTATCTGGGACTCGAATCCCAGACCTCTGGGTGTACATTGCTTTAATTTGTTTCATAACGCGTTTTAATTTTTAGTTGTTAATACGGTCATAAAGATTTATATCACTTTGAGTTGGAGGCCTTAGCATGGTGACCGATTTGCATAACAATCGGCTCATATTGTGGCTGCGGATGAACGACGAGACTCTCTTGTTGGCCTGTTGAGCCCACATTGGTGTCCACCATGTCATTTGCTCTCTGTCGTTTCATCACATTTACATCCGTATTCGCCACAGTTATGTCGTTGGCTCTAGGGCGTTTCATCACATTTTTCTCTGAGCTTTGCCAGTTGAAATAGTTATGTGCATATATTTCCACTTGCTTCGGGTTCTTGGAATTCAATAAGACGACTATTTGACGCCAATCTTTCCCAAACCGCTTTAACCCGATCAGAAACCATCTGCATTACAATTTTCCACGAGTTCATATACGTGAGAAATCTGATATTAGCCCATTTTTAATCAAGTTTCACCATGCAATTAGTCAATGATCTTAGTTCAAAAAAAGATAAAAGTAAAATAAACTAATATAGTGTCTAGCTAGATCCGCAAAACAATACCGCTATTCTATCATCAAATGTAAATTCCACTAAGTGACAAAATTCTTTACTCATCAATTATCCTTAATTATATATACTTACTTTATTTTTCATAAAGGGTGTGCTTTATATATACTTACTCATGTGTTTCTTTGTTCCATTTAGTTCTCTCGGCCTGGTGCGAACTTTGAGCCATAGCCTCAGTCAATTTATTAGGAAAAGCAACTCGACTGGATCCCATCTCTAAAAGATCATTGACCATTTCCTTGTAATGCTCCTTAACATCAGCTACCGATTTCTGCACATACTCCGCGATACTCTTGAACCGAGTAGGCAAAAAGGCAGAGAACAACACCAGTGCATTCTTGAACTTCTCGTTCTCCTCTCTCGTCCATGAAGTTTCAGCCATAATTGCCAAAACAAATGAAGGAAAATAAAGTCTACAAAACAAAAAGTTGTGAATCTGGAGAACTATATAACTCTTGTAAGGGATGTAGCAGCTTATAAACAACTCAAGTAACAAAAAATATATGGCTTCTCTTCTCTCTAAGAGAAATTCCTAAAAATGGCCCTAAAACAAGTTTTATTGACAATAATAGCACACACTCCATAAACTTCCAAAAATAGCACTAGTTAACTTACTATTAGTGTTTTTGTTCTAAAAATTTTATCACTAGCTTTTTTTTTCAATAATACCAAGACTTTTATATAAAAGCTATTCAACAAAATAAATTAGAAATAAATTTAAAATATTATATTTGGGTTCTCTATTTCCAATTTAGGGTATATATTTCTACCATTTAAAAGAGATTTTGATTCATTTTAATATTAGTTTATGGTATTATATTTGGGTTCCCTATTTCCAATTTAGGGTATATATTTTCACCATTTAAAAGAGATTTTTATTTTAATATTAGTTTGTGGTATTATATTTGGGTTCTCTATTTCCAAATTAGGGTATATATTTCAACTATTTAAAACAATTTTGATTCAATTTAATATTAGATTAGTGTTTGCACTCTTTTTTATTTTTTATCTTATATTTTCATTAAGTTTAATTGAAGTTTATAGTGCTATTTGTGTAACTTTTCAAATGAGGTGCTATTTTTGGAAAAAATAACTTTTTTGGGGCTATTTGTGTCAATCTCCCTCTCTCTAATTGGGGTGTATTAAGTTTTCTTCCATTTTTTTATTTAAGGGTAATCTATACTATATAAAAGTCGAGGCTATAAGCTTCTGAGGCCGTCCACGTAGGATTTTAAACCACCAATCGCGGTTAGCCACTTCATCGGTTAACATTTTTATACACCACGTTAATTATCATTTTTTTTGAAACTTTCTATATTAAAATATTATTAATAAAAGAAGAAAGAAAACAAGATATATGGAAATAAAATAAATGTAAACTTAAAATAAAAATATGGAATCTATGTAATTATAATTATGTAATATTAAGCTCAGTCCCATAAAATATTTAAAAATATATATATGGAATCTAATATTAAAAATATTAAGCCCAATCCCGATTAGCTATCTTGCTATAAGCTTCTAAAAACGTCCATGTGGGATTTAAAACGACGAATCACGATTAGCCATCTCACTAATTAACATTTTTAGTCATCACATTAATTAACATTTTAAAATTTTAATTTTTTTCTATATTAGGATATGTATGAATAGGATATATATATATATATATATATATATATATATATATATAATAGAAATTTAAAACTTTTTAAAAAGATATACAAATAAGAAAAATGTAAAATTAGTTATTAAATTATATTTAGAAAAATATCATTATTAGTTTCACTATGTAAGCTTCCAAATAAATTAGGAGAGTATCCTAATTCTAAATAATGTAGTTAATAGGATTTGGAAAAAAAATTAAAAAAATAAAACAAATTATAACATAATTTATATTAAAAACACATATTAACTTAATCTTAGACTAAAAAAAGTTCCTAATTCTAAGTTAGTAGTCTTATTCCCAACTACACATAATCATCAATAACTAAAATATTACCATTCCAAAAACGTGGTAACATATTGTTAATAATATGAAAATTTGCTATGAGATTATATGTTAAAAAAAAGAGAGAGATTATATGTTAAATTCCAAATACAATTAAATGTAAAATTGTCCATATATGCTAAATCGTTCAAATATTTTTTTAAAGGAAACTTTTCAAATATTCAAAAACCTAAAAAACATGTTAATGTTAGTATAAGAATTTTTTAAGTTTTAGTTTAAACAGAAAGAGAAAATAATGCTAAAAGATGAAGAAAAATACCACTATAACAACAAAATGGAAAAATATTCAATTAACAACACAACGAAAAATAAGTTAATGATGGTCGGAAAAACTTTTAGTTTAAAACAAAAGTTTCTAAATTCTGAAGTAGTGGTTAATTTTATGTAAAAATAGCCATCTAAAATTGATTATGGAACATAGATACTTGAAATATCAAAACGTATAGTTTTTGAGAGATCAAACAAAGAGCTCACTGAATTACGAGGGCACCTTGCTGTCAGGATCACCCATTTATGGGCAGCACAAAACTTTTAATCTCATGTATAATCTTTGAATCAATAAATCAAATCGAAAATCAATAACAAAGAGGTGACATAAGATAGTGCGGAAGAGATTCGATCGGGGGGTTTGTAGATAAAGATTTGGAACAAGAGATTGCAAGAGAGAAGAGATGGATTGGATGCTTGAGATTTCGGCAATAGTGTGGCAATACGAGTCTGAAATTGGCGGATTCGAGCTGAGAGAACGATAAGGAATTAATTATGCCTCCAATCAACAGCTACATTTCTCTCTGTATATGTCACTAATTTTTTTTGAGTTCTACATGGACACCATGTTCACGACCAAGCGGGAGAGAAGATGGTATCATAGTCGTTGATGAAGTGGAGAGCTTTACCTCAAGAAGATGCCAGGAAGATGAAGAGAAATTGCTTGCTAGCTTTCCAGCTTATGTCCAACATCTTGAAGACAATGCTGTTGTTCGAGGATGGGGTATTGATGGGCCAAAAATATCAAGCCAGCCCGTGTGTGTGAGAAGGCCGAATTCTCAGCACGAAAACTAGGCTGTTTATGTTTTAAGATTTTGATTTTATAGTTCTCTTTAGATTTGGATATTATTGTTTTCATGAATATTTTCTGGTGTTTTCTTTATTCTTTTGGGACTTGATAAAATTTTTATGGGTGTTTTCTTATATAAACCAAGGAAATCAATAAGAAAAGTAGTCATAACTACTTATTTTTAAATTGTTTGTCATTGTTCTTATTGCTCTTGATTGTGATCTATCAGTCTTGGATTATATATCACATGTCACGATTTAATTTTTGAAGCAGCTGACAGAGACGTCTTTTGGGATGTCGTAATTTTACCAAACCCAAAAAATCTTTCAAATTATGACAAAAATCAAATCAGTTCTTGCGATTAAGGATAAAAAAAGAAGAGGTGTCAACCCAACTTTTTAGCCAAAAATATATGGGGACTCTACAATTACTTGATTAATAGTAAAACTTATTAATAGATAAGACAAATATAGGTACGCTCAAACGTGTACATATTTAGTAGATTAATTTCTAATATTTTGTGAAAATATTTTTATAATTGCTTTACTATTAGCAAAATCTTTAATAATGTAAAACAAGTAAGAGAAAATGACACATCATATTTATAATTTTTTTCATACCAAATTTTACCCTAGAAACTTTTTTTTCTTATCAAAACAAAATTTGAAATAACGTAAATGATACTAAAAATAGAAATAAAAAAATACTTCCGTTAAAAATAAATAAAAGAACATTTCCGTTAAAAAATATTTAAAAAATTATAGTACTTTTGTATTACTAAATATATACCTATTTAAATGATAATAAAGCCCAAAAATATATTAAAACAATCGATAACAATAAACCCCCACTACGCGGGGGTTAATAATCTAGTCTATACTATATAAAAGTCGAGGCTATAAGCTCCTCAGGCCGTCCACGTGGGATTTTAAACGACCAATCGTGGTTGGACATCTCATTAATTAGCATTTTTAGCTATCATATTAGTTAACATTTTGTAATTATAATATTTTCTATATTAAGATATTTATGAAAAGAAAAAAAAATATATATGTAAAGAAGAGAAATGTCAAATGTTGAAAAAAAAAACATATGAAATTTTTTGGGTTTAAAATGAAAAGGAAAAGGCTAATAATGAAAATAAAAAATTCTACTTAACAAAAAAAAAAGGAAAAAAAAAAAGGTTTCTAAATGCTAAAGTATTGGTTTTATGTATAAATATTGTTCTATAATTTAGAATGGAATACAAAAAGAGAATACTTTATATTCTTGAAAAAAAAGGAGCTTAAAGAAGAGCGTTTAGGTTTTAAGGATGAGCGAGATGTTATTTTTGACTCTGACCATCAAACTGAAGAAGCAGCTCGACCTCAGTTTGTAGAAACCTTTGAAGAAGAAGATCTAGGTTTTGACTTTGGGGATGAACAAGAGCTTAACTTTACCTATGAAAAAGCAGTTCCATATCAGCTTGGAGAATTTTTTTTTTTTTTTTGAAACAAAAGCTTGGAGAAGTTGTTCCATTCTACGGGTTGTCGGCGCTTATTGGTTGAGAACGATGTTAGCTTTGACTTTGATAATCAAATAGTGATGTCGTCGGTGAGAATGACATGTGAACTATTTGTTTGGAAGAATTTGACGGTGGAACAACCAAACAAGTATTGTGACTTTACCGTGTGGACACGAGTTTGACGAGGAGTGTTATAGAGTGGTGTGTGCAGTGGCGGATCTAGAACAAAAATTTAGAGGGGCGATCAATATTTATATATTTATGTAAATCTATATATATATATATATATAAATAATAAAATAATAAAAAAAATATTGAATATATTTTTTGCTTTGTTATTTTATTTATGATAAATAAATTCATTATACTATATAAGAAAAAGTAAAAAAGATACAACATTTCTATAAAAAAACATATGAGTTTAAATGAATCAAAGAGTAATATTTAAAAGTTAGGATTTTAAATTAACATATTTAGTTTGATTTAAAATTTATATTTACTAGATTTTTAGTTTTTTACTAAAAAAAATTTTATAGAAAACTCAAATATTTAGAAAACAACACATAAACAAATCTGAATTTTACCCAGATTGACTCAAAACTTTGCAAAAATAACTAAAATGACTCCCATTGGAAGTGGATAACTAGACTAACCCAAATTTTGTGTAAAAAGACTATTTAACCTCAATCAAACTTAATACAACATTTTCATTATATAAAAAAAAAACAAATACGATTTCTTAATAAAATTGATAGTCAATTCCGAGGATTTAGATATTAGGATTCTGATTGAGGGAGATGAGAAGAGAAAATGATGTTGGTGAAGATAATGGGTCGATTCTTGAGGAGACTGAAAGCGTGATTATTGTGTTTGGAGAAGGTAATAATGTTGTCAATATCTCGCCGGAGAACTGTGGGATTAGCGTCTTGACGGAGACGGCGGTGCCTCCGGTGAAAAATCAGGAGTTTTGCGTTTTGAAGATAGAGGCGGCTATGGAGATCTAAGCAAGCATCAGAAGAAGATGAATCTCGTCACAGGTAGAAGATGATGAAGAAGAGTTGCGATGATGTATAAATATAGGTGTTAGTGTAAAATTGTCAGAAAAATACTCTTGCTCAGGTGGTCAAAAAGCCAATGGTCTCTCTCCAAGGTAGCTGGTTCGAATCCAACTTCTGACAATGACATTGTTTTGCAGTTTAACAAAAACGATTAATGTTGACTTAACTCTGTTAAATTTATCCGTCACTCTGCGATGTATCTTGGTTGGCAATATCAACAAAAGTTAACAATTATTTTAAAAGTCAACTAAAGTTAACCATTTAATCCACCCCAAGTAAAGTTTATGCTTTCTTTCTACACTTTTTGTATGTTTATGATTTTTATGACACTTTTTCCCAATAAAAATCTGTCATAACATATAAAAAATCTGTTATCACTATATAGATCATTTCAGTAATTTATTTTTAATTTAAAAAATCTGCTATCAAACACCAGATATTTTAGAAATGTAACTTAAATCTGGCATAACATAAAACAAATCTGTCATAACGTAAAATATTTCGGTTGCGACTATACGTCATTCTAGCAATTTCTATGTTTTTATGACAAATCTGCTATCACACTCCAGATTTTTTGTCAACAAAAAAAAAACTGTCATAACATAACACAAATCTGTTATCACTAATAAGTCAAACTAGTAATTATTTTTTCATTAACAAATCTGCTACATTATAGCAGATTTTTTCCTAAAAATATAAGTCTGACGCCACTGGAAACATAAATCTGCCACACAATATAATAAATCTGTCAAAATTACAAAAGTCTAAGGCGTCATTATAAAATAAGTCTGTCGAAGAACAAAAATCTGCAACAAATGAAATATCTGTCGTAACCATATTCAAATAAGTCTGTGGGAGAAAATAAATCTGGGGCCGAAAATCTGTCGTAAAATATTAAATCTGTCGTGAAAAATAAATCTGTCACAATGAAATCCGCAGACTTTTCACAACAGATTTTTTTTTTTCCAAAAATTTTCCCCACGTTTGAAAAAATAATTGAGGGTAATCTTGACTTTTTTTTTTCCTAACAAAGAGAGAAAGGGTATTTTGGTCATGAAAATAACTAGATTAACCCTTATATTTTATGAGTTATTCTAGTAATTAAACTCTATATTTGGGTCAAACTAGTTTTTTTCCCTAAAAAAATAAAAAGAAACCAATTATCATAACTATGAACCGTCAAAGTTATGGGTTGAGACAAATTTTTAAACATTAATAATACAAAAGGAAAGAAATATTATGGTCTAGGCATTTAGATAATGTTGTTAATTCCATTTGGATTTAAATTTGTAACTAATTTAGCTCAATTAAAGGGGCAAAGAGATAAGTAATATTCCTTTTTTTTTTGTCATGAGATAAGTAATATTCATTTACCTTTTTTAGTTAACGTCAATTTGGTTAATTGGAAAACAAAAATTTAAGGGTGGCAAGAAAGATTTTTTATAGGTAGAATCTAAAATATACAAAATTAGTAGAATCTTAAAAAAAGTTAGTGAGATGGCAAATCGAGATTGGTCGACTAAAATCCCAATAAAATCACTACTTAACTTTTTTAAGATTCTACTAATTTTGTATATTTTAGATGGGTGATTTGCAAAAGTAGCCAATTTTGAAAAAGTTATTAAATTTATAGCACCATAATCTTGGAAATTAAGTGAGTAGCACATGTGGTGTATGAAAAGACAATAAAGTCCTTTCAGTCTCAGGAAAAAAATGAAGGGTGCGTGAAGAGAGAGAGAGGGAGGGAAGAAGAGAGAGGAGAGAGAGAAGAGAGGGACGTGGAGAGAGAGAGGGAAGGAGAGAAGAACAGAGGGAGAGAGACATTGAGAGGAACTAAGAGAGAGAGACAGAGAGAAGAGAGGGAAGGAGAGAAAAACAGAGGGAGAGAGAGATTGAGAGGGACTAAATGTGTCTTTATTACATAAATTATAAATAATATCACCTTTTTTTTTTTTCTAGTGCTACTTTCTTAATTTATAAATTTTTGTTGGTTATAGAGTCAAATTTTCCTTTTTTAAATTCTACTATTTTCTATATTAATATTTATAAAAAGGAAAGAAAATATAATATACACGTAAATAGGGGTGTCAAAATAGTTAAACCAACTCAACTCAACTCATTATCCAATGAGTTTAGAGTTAAATGAGTTCATGGGTTGACTCAACTCATTTAAGCAAATGAGTTGAGTCAACCCATGAACTCATTTAATTGGATGGGTTAGAAGGTTAAATGGGTTGACCCATTAAGCTATTAATAATAATCAATATCACTATTATTTGGCAGAAAAATCACGGATTTACGTTTTTGGCGGGAAAATTACGGATTTACGTTTTTGGCGAGAAAATTTTATATTTTCATTTTTGGTTAAAAATTATAAAAAAATTTGGCGGCAAAATCACGGATTTACGTTTTTGGCGGAAAAAATACGGATTTACGTTTTTGGCGGGAAAATTACGGATTAACGTTTTTGGCGGAAAATTTTATATTCTCATTTTTGATTAAAAAGTATAAAAAATTTTGGCGGGAAAATCACGGATTTAGGTTTTTGGCGGGAAAATTACGGATTTACGTTTTTGGCGGAAAATTTTATATTCTCATTTGTGATTAAAAATTATAAAAAATTTTGGCGGGAAAATCACGGATTTACGTTTTTGATGGGAAAATTACGGATTTACGTTTTTGGCGGGAAATTTTATATTCTCATTTTTGATTAAAAATTATAAAAAATTTTGGCGGGAAAGTCATGGATTTACGTTTTTGGCGGAAAAATCACGGATTTACGTTTTTGGCGGGAAATTTTACATTCTCATTTTTGGTTAAAAAATTTTAAAAAAATTGGCGGGAAAATCATGGATTTACGTTTATGAAGAGATTAAGACATATATAAACAATGTTACAAGAAACTCCTCTCTCACACATTTCGTCAAACACTTTGAATGCATCTTTTGTTCTTCCATCTTTGCAAAGCTGATTCATCACACAGTTATAAGTACAGTATAGAGATTAGGGAAAACACCATCTTCCTGCATCTTTTCGTACATCTCAAACCCTTGTTTCTTAATCCCATTTTTGAATAACCCATGAATCAAAACCGTGTAAGTCCATTCATTAGCCACTAATCCGAACTTCCCCATCTCAAAAAACAAATCTTTAGCCTTCTCAATCTCACCTTTCTTGCAACACCCATCAATCAAAGAAGTGTAGATAACAACGTTTGGAGAAAACCCAAACTCTCTTAATTCAACAAGAAGATCAAAACTTTTCTCAATCTCACCAGCTTCACAACAACCTTTGATCACAATCCCAAAGCTATACACATCCAAAACAACTTTGCTTTTGCTCTCGTTGAAGAAACACCACCATTGATTGAAAGAAGAAGACCCAACAACGAAAGTTAAGAGATTGTTGAAGCAATTCGATCCAAGAACAAAACCCTTATCGACCATTTCGTTGGAGTAAGAGATTGAGGAATCTAGGGATTGAGATTGAACATAGGCATTGATGATTACCTCGTAGAGACGAATATTGGTTTTTGACGTTTCTGATTCTGTCAAATAGTGTAGCAGAGAGGAAGATGTGAAGAATTGGGATTGGATTTTTCCGGAGATTACTTGAAGGAGAAGTGATTGAGCGTGAGAGTATAAGTTTCCAGAGAGAAGGAGACGAAGAAGGATTGATATGGATTCGTGTGTGTGTTGCAATCCATGGAAATTTGGAGAATTTAAGAGAGAGAAAGCTTTTAATGGAGGAACCTTGATTAGATTTGCTAGTAGAATGAAGGTTTTCTGGGATTTTGCCGCCATGGGTTTAAACATTGAAGCCATAGCTGAGCTTAATTAAGCATCATGAACAGTTAGGATTAATCTTAGTTTTTTATTATTTTAAAAAAGAAAAGCCCATTTATTATGGGCTAGATTAAACGTAAACCCCATATTATTATATACTAACTCAAATAGCTCTCTTTCTTTAAAAGTGTTTATCAAAACAAAACATTTATAGTTTGTTCAAACCGGTCTTATACACTTGATCAATCATCATCATCATCCCCCTAAACACTAAAACATCATCGTCAAGCAAAACTCATCATATACTTGATGATATCGTCATCATCCTATACACATCAAGCGAACTCATATCCTCCTATACTGAAACTAGAGAAAAGGAACAACTCCAAGTTAGACTCCAAAGTTATCTGGCTTGCCCATGGTAGACTCCGACGTTATGTCATGGATACTCCTGCGTTTCCTCTTATTAATGTCCAATTTTTGCCTTTTGTCATACTTCTGTGCATGGCTTGCTACTTGTATTTTGGTCCTTGTCTTCACAAATTCCCTTGATATCATACTCCAAGCTCCTTTCCCATACTTGTTCAATCCATCCAGAAACAATCTAAACATTCAAAAGCCCATAAGTAACCAAGGTCAAAAACACGATTATTCATCATCTTAATTCAACAATCTAAAGACGTTAATCAGAAAAATCAATCCCCAAGATTATCATAATCAACATTCTTTGTAACATTTTAACTCTTAACTTATACTTAAATCAACAAAATTCTTAGTAAGATTTTATAATCATCAACTCCAGCGACTTTTAATTTCACAATCAAAAGAAACCCTAATTCATAAGTCTTTGACTAACCTGTGTTCCTCTTCTGTCCAAGGAATCCCGTGTTTGGACTGAGTCGCTTCCGTCAGTGACACGTTATCGTCGTCCGGGTACTTGGGTAAAGCATACTTACCCGATTCGACAAGCGCAACATCGTAGACCAATGCGTCGTAGTGGTACTTTACCAACCCCAAAGGTTTCTGCAGAAGCTGAGCGATGTTCTCCAAAAACGACGGCGAGCCCTCCGGGAATATCACCAGGGCTAACTCAAAACGCTTGTCATCGTCCCTCGTCCACGGCGGAATCCAAGCCATAATATCCAAGAAAATGAAGAAAAAATCGCCAAAAAACAAGAAGAATCAAGAAATATCGTTTGTGGATTCTGTCACTGAAGAGGGTTTGTTATTGAGGTGATTTCGCCGGAATATAATAGGAAATTACAAATTTAGCCCGCAATTTATATTATGTTATTGAGGTTTCTTTTTTTTTTTTCCGTTTCCTATCGAATTTATATTGAGAAATAATAGGGGAAATTGCAAAATTTACCCTCATCTTTTCTTAATTTAACATAAGAAACCCGAGTTAAACGTGTTTACAGGGCCCTTTATCACAGAAAGAAAAAAAGATTACTTTTCAGTAAAAGAAAGAATTCACAAGTATAGCTTCTTATAAAATTTTGGTCTTAGCTCCTATATATATAAACTAGATCATGACCCGCACGTACGTGCGGGGTTTCATATTTTAATTTTTTTTTAACAAAATTTAATTCAATATAGATTATTGTGTTGTTTTATGATATTTATTTTAGTGTATTAGATCTAGATCCACATACGTGTAGAAATATTTTTATAGAAATTGTTATATAGATTTTAAAAATATAAAATATTTTGTTGTATTAGTGAACTTCGTAATAATATAAATATTATAAAGTTAGAGTAATTAACAAAAAATTCAGTTGCATTAATGCATAATTATATTTTAAGATCCGTACTAATTAGTTGCAAAAGTTAATGGTGTTACATTTTTATTTTCTTAACTAATCAAAATAGTTCTAACAGTTTGATTACATATGTTAAATAGGATATGAATTCGGTTTTAGTTTGGATTATTTCATGTATATTAGCAAGGCGTAACTATTTTGGAACAGGAAACATATCCTTTCCGGTATCTGTCATAAATTCTTTGTCCCATAACCTGTCACGTACACATAAAATAAAAATATTACGGTCCCATATCTGTCATAAATAGAGTATGTGTAACTGAAAACGTATGTACATGGTTATGTGTAAACAAATTTATTCTATATAGTGCTCATAACCCGAACTCATACCAGTTGGGTATTTAGTTTGATTTTTAATATATGTTCTCCTTCCATCTCGTCTCGTAATTTCTATTTCCATTTTATTCCATTAAAATTATGTTCCAAATTCTTGTTTGCTTACCTTTAAATACCATACAATATTACAATAAATACTGTGAGTTTTGCGGATTAATATGTATGCTGTTAAAGTTATAAATATATTTTAACAAATTTATTAATGTTTCTAGCTAAATTTTGCATATTTTTCTTTTCATTGTTTAATTTTAATTAATTCGATTTTTTGGACTAAAACTAAAATTTGAGATATATCTATAAAAGGGATATGCTATTGCTGCATAATTTGTTTTGAATGCAAAATATATAATTAGTTCACATTATTTCGAAAACTGTGTGCAATATATTATAGAAGATCCGGTTGAGAAGAAAAAAAAAGAAAACACAAAATATTTCGAAATTAATATGTACAATATATTGTTTAGATATTTCTGAAACTTGCTCTAAATGAATGCCCAATATCGTTTTTTTAGAAATTGTGAAATAAAATTTTGTTTTATATTTCAAAATTTGTGAAAATATTATAACAAAACTGAGTCTTAAATATTTGTATTTAATTTTTTTATGAAATTTCAAATTCAATCTTAAAATTTTCCATTGATAAATTTTTTTAAACTATAGTGTTTTTAATTTTGAATTAAAATGGTATTATTTTTCTTTTTTATTTTTGATATAGAATAGTTTATTAGGATTGGTTTAGATTTTAGTTGGATATCAAATCTTAGTTTTTTAATTCTCATTGCTTAACAACTTTTTAGAAAAAAAATTTAAATTTTCGTCCATAATTAATAAGAGAGAGAAAGTGAGTTTAATTTTTTGGAAACTAATAATTACTTTAAAGAATTTTATTGTTTTTTATTTAAATATATTATTTTGTGATTACTATTGTATATTTAATGAATTTATTTAAAAACTAAAATCAATGGCATTTTTGTAATACTTTACACTTTATAAGGTTATTTATGTTTGAGTGCTTCCCAATTAATAGTATAGATTAAATATACTGAAAGACAGATCATTTAATTAGTGTGATCTACTATTCATTTAAAAAAAAAAAAAATATCTTGGCTTTTGTTAATGTTTTGAAACTATTTAAAATAAAAACTAAGATATAATCCTATACTTGATATAATCATTGATTATCCTATACACTTGAACTGTTCCAAGTTATTTTGTTACTTTGGAGAGTAATTAAGGAGATTCAAGTTATTTTGTTTCCTATTGAACCCCAACTTTATATATACTACTTAACTTAAAAGCTCCATTTAGCTAAGAAGAAGAAACGCAAAAAATAAAAACATTAAAATATGTATTATTTTAATGGTTAAGGAAAATAAAATATAGCTGGCCACAAAAGTAAATAAAATATGGTTTACAAAAATGGAAACCCCAAATCTTTAATATACAACACAAAAATATCAAGGGCCTTCAAGTCTTTAGGCTTTAATTTTTTTTTTCCCTCTAGATTTATTATTTATTGTAAATTATGAGAACTGTTACATAAACGATTCTAACTCTGACAATTCCTTCCGACCCTTATTAGATCCACGACAGACGTCACCTCTTTCACCTCCTTCTTCATGCTCACCTCCTTCTTCATGCTCACCTCCTTCACCTCATTCTTCATGCTCTTGATGGACACTTCCCTCTCTGCGTAGAATCCTGGCGAACGGCTATAATTGTACATCGCTGGAGATCTCATGCACACTTGCCTCCAATAATCTGCAAATATATTAATAAATCATAGTATCTGGGACTCGAATCCCAGACCTCTGGGTGTACATTGCTTTAATTTGTTTCATAACGCGTTTTAATTTTTAGTTGTTAATACGGTCATAAAGATTTATATCACTTTGAGTTGGAGGCCTTAGCATGGTGACCGATTTGCATAACAATCGGCTCATATTGTGGCTGCGGATGAACGACGAGACTCTCTTGTTGGCCTGTTGAGCCCACATTGGTGTCCACCATGTCATTTGCTCTCTGTCGTTTCATCACATTTACATCCGTATTCGCCACAGTTATGTCGTTGGCTCTAGGGCGTTTCATCACATTTTTCTCTGAGCTTTGCCAGTTGAAATAGTTATGTGCATATATTTCCACTTGCTTCGGGTTCTTGGAATTCAATAAGACGACTATTTGACGCCAATCTTTCCCAAACCGCTTTAACCCGATCAGAAACCATCTGCATTACAATTTTCCACGAGTTCATATACGTGAGAAATCTGATATTAGCCCATTTTTAATCAAGTTTCACCATGCAATTAGTCAATGATCTTAGTTCAAAAAAAGATAAAAGTTAAAATAAACTAATATAGTGTCTAGCTAGATCCGCAAAACAATACCGCTATTCTATCATCAAATGTAAATTCCACTAAGTGACAAAATTCTTTACTCATCAATTATCCTTAATTATATATACTTACTTTATTTTTCATAAAGGGTGTGCTTATATATACTTACTCATGTGTTTCTTTGTTCCATTTAGTTCTCTCGGCCTGGTGCGAACTTTGAGCCATAGCCTCAGTCAATTTATTAGGAAAAGCAACTCGACTGGATCCCATCTCTAAAAGATCATTGACCATTTCCTTGTAATGCTCCTTAACATCAGCTACCGATTTCTGCACATACTCCGCGATACTCTTGAACCGAGTAGGCAAAAAGGCAGAGAACAACACCAGTGCATTCTTGAACTTCTCGTTCTCCTCTCTCGTCCATGAAGTTCAGCCATAATTGCCAAAACAAATGAAGGAAAATAAAGTCTACAAAACAAAAAGTTGTGAATCTGGAGAACTATATAACTCTTGTAAGGGATGTAGCAGCTTATAAACAACTCAAGTAACAAAAAATATATGGCTTCTCTTCTCTCTAAGAGAAATTCCTAAAAATGGCCCTAAAACAAGTTTTATTGACAATAATAGCACACACTCCATAAACTTCCAAAAATAGCACTAGTTAGCTTACTATTAGTGTTTTTGTTCTAAAAAATTTTATCACTAGCTTTTTTTTTCAATAATACCAAGACTTTTATATAAAAGCTATTCAACAAAATAAATTAGAAATAAATTTAAAATATTATATTTGGGTTCTCTATTTCCAATTTAGGGTATATATTTCTACCATTTAAAAGAGATTTTGATTCATTTTAATATTAGTTTATGGTATTATATTTGGGTTCCCTATTTCCAATTTAGGGTATATATTTTCACCATTTAAAAGAGATTTTTATTTTAATATTAGTTTGTGGTATTATATTTGGGTTCTCTATTTCCAAATTAGGGTATATATTTCAACTATTTAAAACAATTTTGATTCAATTTAATATTAGATTAGTGTTTGCACTCTTTTTTATTTTTTATCTTATATTTTCATTAAGTTTAATTGAAGTTTATAGTGCTATTTGTGTAACTTTTCAAATGAGGTGCTATTTTTGGAAAAAATAACTTTTTTGGGGCTATTTGTGTCAATCTCCCTCTCTCTAATTGGGGTGTATTAAGTTTTCTTCCATTTTTTTATTTAAGGGTAATCTATACTATATAAAAGTCGAGGCTATAAGCTTCTGAGGCCGTCCACGTAGGATTTTAAACCACCAATCGCGGTTAGCCACTTCATCGGTTAACATTTTTATACACCACGTTAATTATCATTTTTTTTTGAAACTTTCTATATTAAAATATTATTAATAAAAGAAGAAAGAAAACAAGATATATGGAAATAAAATAAATGTAAACTTAAAATAAAAATATGGAATCTATGTAATTATAATTATGTAATATTAAGCTCAGTCCCATAAAATATTTAAAAAATATATATGGAATCTAATATTAAAAATATTAAGCCCAATCCCGATTAGCTATCTTGCTATAAGCTTCTAAAAACGTCCATGTGGGATTTTAAAACGACGAATCACGATTAGCCATCTCACTAATTAACATTTTTAGTCATCACATTAATTAACATTTTAAAATTTTAATTTTTTTCTATATTAGGATATGTATGAATAGGATATATATATATATATATATATTATAATAGAAATTTAAAACTTTTTAAAAAGATATACAAATAAGAAAAATGTAAAATTAGTTATTAAATTATATTTAGAAAAATATCATTATTAGTTTCACTATGTAAGCTTCCAAATAAATTAGGAGAGTATCCTAATTCTAAATAATGTAGTTAATAGGATTTGGAAAAAAAATTAAAAAAATAAAACAAATTATAACATAATTTATATTAAAAACACATATTAACTTAATCTTAGACTAAAAAAAGTTCCTAATTCTAAGTTAGTAGTCTTATTCCCAACTACACATAATCATCAATAACTAAAATATTACCATTCCAAAAACGTGGTAACATATTGTTAATAATATGAAAATTTGCTATGAGATTATATGTTAAAAAAAAGAGAGAGATTATATGTTAAATTCCAAATACAATAAATGTAAATTGTCCATATATGCTAAATCGTTCAAATATTTTTTTAAAGGAAACTTTTCAAATTCAAAAACCTAAAAAACATGTTAATGTTAGTATAAGAATTTTTTAAGTTTTAGTTTAAACAGAAAGAGAAATAATGCTAAAAGCTGAAGAAAAATACCACTATAACAACAAAATGGAAAAATATTCAATTAACAACACAACGAAAAATAAGTTAATGATGGTCGGAAAAAACTTTTAGTTAAAACAAAAGTTTCTAAATTCTGAAGTAGTGGTTAATTTTATGTAAAAATAGCCATCTAAAATTGATTATGGAACATAGATACTTGAAATATCAAAACGTTATAGTTTTTTGAGAGATTCAAACAAAGAGCTCACTGAATTACGAGGGCACCTTTGCTGTCAGGATCACCCATTTATGGGCAGCACAAAACTTTTAATCTCATGTATAATCTTTGAATCAATAATCAAATCGAAAATCAATAACAAAGAGGTGACATAAGATAGTGCGGAAGAGATTCGATCGGGGGGTTTGTTAGATAAAGATTTGGAACAAGAGATTGCAAGAGAGAAGAGATGGATTGGATGCTTGAGATTTCGGCAATAGTGTGGCAATACGAGTCTTGAAATTGGCGGATTCGAGCTGAGAGAACGATAAGGAATAATTATGCCTCCAATCAACAGCTACATTTCTCTCTGTATATGTCACTAATTTTTTTGAGTTCTACATGGACACCATGTTCACGACCAAGCGGGAGAGAAGATGGTATCATAGTCGTTGATGAAGTGGAGAGCTTTACCTCAAGAAGATGCCAGGAAGATGAAGAGAAATTGCTTGCTAGCTTTCCAGCTTATGTCCAACATCTTGAAGACAATGCTGTTGTTCGAGGATGGGGTATTGATGGGCCAAAAATATCAAGCCAGCCGTGTGTGTGAGAAGGCCGAATTCTCAGCACGAAAACTAGGCTGTTTATGTTTTAAGATTTTGATTTTATAGTTCTCTTTAGATTTGGATATTATTGTTTTCATGAATATTTTCTGGTGTTTTCTTTATTCTTTTGGGACTTGATAAAATTTTTATGGGTGTTTTCTTATATAAACCAAGGAAATCAATAAGAAAAGTAGTCATAACTACTTATTTTTAAATTGTTTGTCATTGTTCTTATTGCTCTTGATTGTGATCTATCAGTCTTGGATTATATATCACATGTCACGATTTAATTTTTGAAGCAGCTGACAGAGACGTCTTTTGGGATGTCGTAATTTTACCAAACCCAAAAAATCTTTCAAATTATGACAAAATCAAATCAGTTCTTGCGATTAAGGATAAAAAAAGAAGAGGTGTCAACCCAACTTTTTAGCCAAAAATATATGGGGACTCTACAATTACTTGATTAATAGTAAAACTTATTAATAGATAAGACAAATATAGGTACGCTCAAACGTGTACATATTTAGTAGATTAATTTCTAATATTTTGTGAAAATATTTTTATAATTGCTTTACTATTAGCAAAATCTTTAATAATGTAAAACAAGTAGAGAGAAATGACACATCATATTTATAATTTTTTTCATACCAAATTTTACCCTAGAAACTTTTTTTTCTTATCAAAACAAAATTTGAAATAACGTAAATGATACTAAAAATAGAAATAAAAAAATACTTCCGTTAAAAATAAATAAAAGAACATTTCCGTTAAAAAATATTTAAAAAATTATAGTACTTTTGTATTACTAAATATATACCTATTTAAATGATAATAAAGCCCAAAAATATATTAAAACAATCGATAACAATAACCCCCACTACGCGGGGGTTAATAATCTAGTCTATACTATATAAAGTCGAGGCTATAAGCTCCTCAGGCCGTCCACGTGGGATTTTAAACGACCAATCGTGGTTGGACATCTCATTAATTAGCATTTTTAGCTATCATATTAGTTAACATTTTGTAATTATAATATTTTCTATATTAAGATATTTATGAAAGAAAAAAAATATATATGTAAAGAAGAGAAATGTCAAATGTGAAAAAAAAACATATGAAATTTTTGGGTTAAAATGAAAAGGAAAAGGCTAATAATGAAAATAAAAAATTCTACTTAACAAAAAAAAAGGAAAAAAAAAAGGTTTCTTAAATGCTAAAGTATTGGTTTTATGTATAAATATTGTTCTATAATTTAGAATGGAATACAAAAAGAGAATACTTTATATTCTTGAAAAAAAAGGAGCTTAAAGAAGAGCGTTTAGGTTTTAAGGATGAGCGAGATGTTATTTTTGACTCTGACCATCAAACTGAAGAAGCAGCTCGACCTCAGTTGTAGAAACCTTTGAAGAAGAAGATCTAGGTTTTGACTTTGGGGATGAACAAGAGCTTAACTTTACCTATGAAAAAGCAGTTCCATATCAGCTTGGAGAATTTTTTTTTTTTTTGAAACAAAAGCTTGGAGAAGTTGTTCCATTCTACGGGTTGTCGGCGCTTATTGGTTGAGAACGTGTTAGCTTTGACTTTGATAATCAAATAGTGATGTCGTCGTGAGAATGACATGTGAACTATTTGTTTGGAAGAATTTGACGGTGGAACAACCAAACAAGTATTGTGACTTTACCGTGTGGACACGAGTTTGACGAGGAGTGTTATAGAGTGGTGTGTGCAGTGGCGGATCTAGAACAAAAATTTAGAGGGGCGATCAATATTTATATATTTATGTAAATCTATATATATATATATATATAAATAATAAAATAATAAAAAAAATATTGAATATATTTTTTGCTTTGTTATTTTATTTATGATAATAAATTCATTATACTATATAGAAAAAGTAAAAAAGATACACATTTCTATAAAAAAACATATGAGTTTAAATGAATCAAAGAGTAATATTTAAAAGTTAGGATTTTAAATTAACATATTTAGTTTGATTTAAAATTTATATTTACTAGATTTTTAGTTTTTACTAAAAAAAATTTATAGAAAACTCAAATATTTAGAAAACAACACATAAACAAATCTGAATTTTACCCAGATTGACTCAAAACTTTGCAAAAATAACTAAAATGACTCCCATTGGAAGTGGATAACTAGACTAACCCAAATTTTGTGTAAAAAGACTATTTAACCTCAATCAACTTAATACAACATTTTCATTATATAAAAAAAAAACAAATACGATTTCTTAATAAAATTGATAGTCAATTCGAGGATTTAGATATTAGGATCTGATTGAGGGAGATGAGAAGAGAAAATGATGTTGGTGAAGCTAATGGGTCGATTCTTGAGGAGACGGAAAGCGTGATTATTGTGTTTGGAGAAGGTAATAATGTTGTCAATATCTCGCCGGAGAACTGTGGGGATTGCGTCTTGACGGAGACGGCGGTGCCCTCGGTGAAAATCAGAGTTTTGCGTTTTGAAGATAGAGGCGGCTATGGAGATCTAGCAAGGATCAGAAGAAGATGAATCTCGTCACAGGTAGAAGATGATGAAGAAGAGTTGCGATGATGTATAAATATAGGTGTTAGTGTAAAATTGTCAGAAAAATACTCTTGCTCAGGTGGTCAAAAAGCCAATGGTCTCTCTCCAAGGTAGCTGGTGTCGAATCCAACTTATGCCAATGGACATGTTTTGCAGTTTAACAAAAACGATAATGTTGACTTAACTCTGTTAAATTTATCCGTCACTCGCGATGTATCTTGGTTGGCAATATCACAAAAAGTTAACAATTATTTTAAAGTCAACTAAAGGTAACCATTTTAATCCACCCCAAGTAAAGTTTATGCTTCTTTCTACACTTTTTTGTATGTTTATGATTTTTATGACACTTTTTCCCAATTAAAAAATCTGTCATAACATATAAAAATCTGTTATCACTATATAGATCATTTCAGTAATTTATTTTTAATTTAAAAAATTCTGCTATCAAACACCAGATATTTTAGAAATGTAACTAAATCTGGCATTAACATTAAAACAAATCTGTCATACGTAAAATATTTCGGTTGCGGACCTATACGTCATTCTAGCAATTCTATGTTTATGACAAATCTGCTATCACACTCCAGATTTTTTTGTCAACAAAAAAAAACCTGTCATAACAAACACAAGATCTTTATCACTACTAAGTCAAAACTAGTACTTAGTTTTTTCATTAACAAACTGCTACATTATCGCAGATTTTTTTACTAAAATATAAGTCTGACGCCACTGGAAACATAAATCTGCCACACATATAATAAATCTGTCAAAATTACAAAGTCTAAGGCGTCATTATAAAATAAGTCTGTCGAAGAACAAAAATCTGCAACAAATGAAAATATCTGTCGTAACCATATTCAAATAAGTCTGTGGGAGAAAATAAATCTGGGGCCGAAAATTCTGTCGTAAAATATTAAATCTGTCGTGAAAAATAAATCTGTCACAATGAAAATCCGCAGGACTTTTCACAACAGAGTTTTTTTTTTCCAAAAATTTTCCCCACGTTTGAAAAAATAATTGGGGTAATCTTGACTTTTTTTTTTCCTAACAAAGAGAGAAAGGGTATTTTTGGTCATGAAAATAACTAGATTAACCCTTATATTTATGAGTTATTCTAGTAATTAAACTCTATATTTGGGTCAAACTAGTTTTTTTCCCTAAAAAAATAAAAGAAACCAATTATCATAACTATGAACCGTCAAAGTTATGGGTTGAGACAAATTTTTAAACATTAATAATACAAAAGGAAAGAAATATTATGGTCTAGGCATTTAGATAATGTTGTTAATTCCATTTGGATTTAAATTTGTAACTAATTTAGCTCAATTAAAGGGGCAAGAGATAAGTAATATTCCTTTTTTTTTTGTCATGAGATAAGTATATTCATTTACCTTTTTTAGTTAAACGTCAATTTGGTTAATTGGAAAAACAAAAATTTAAGGGTGGCAAGAAAGATTTTTTATAGGTAGAATCTAAAATATACAAATTAGTAGAATCTTAAAAAAAGTTAGTGAGATGGCAAATCGAGATTGGTCGACTAAAATCCCAATAAATCACTACTTAACTTTTTTAAGATTCTACTAATTTTGTATATTTTAGATGGGTGATTTGCAAAAGTAGCCAATTTTGAAAAAGTTATTAAATTTATAGCACCATAATCTGTGGAAATTAAGTGAGTAGCACATGTGGTGTATGAAAGACAATAAAGTCCTTTCAGTCTCAGGAAAAAATGAAGGGTGCGTGAGAGAGAGAGGGAGGGAAGAAGAGAGAGGAAGAGAGAGAAGAGAGGGACGTGGAGAGAGAGAGGGAGGAGAGAAGAACAGAGGGAGAGAGACATGAGAGGAACTAAGAGAGAGAGACAGAGGAGAAGAGAGGGAAGGAGAGAAAAACAGAGGGAGAGAGAGATTGAGAGGGACTAAATGTGTCTTTATTACATAAATTATAAATAATATCACCTGTTTTTTTTTTCTAGTGCTACTTTCTTAATTATAAATTTTTGTTGGTTATAGAGTCAAATTTTCCTTTTTTAAATTCTACTATTTTCTATATTAATATTTATAAAAAGGAAAGAAAATATAATATACACGTAAATAGGGGTGTCAAAATAGGTAAACCAACTCAACTCAACTCATTATCCAATGAGTTAGAGTTAAATGAGTTCATGGGTTGACTCAACTCATTTAAGCAAATGAGTTGAGTCAACCCATGAACTCATTTAATTGGATGGGTTAGAAGGTTAAATGGGTTGACCCATTAAGCTATTAATAATAATCAATATCACTATTATTTGGCAGAAAAATCACGGATTTACGTTTTTGGCGGGAAAATTACGGATTTACGTTTTTGGCGAGAAAATTTTATATTTTCATTTTTGGTTAAAAATTATAAAAAATTTGGCGGCAAAATCACGGATTTACGTTTTTGGCGGAAAAAAATACGGATTTACGTTTTTGGCGGGAAAATTACGGATTAACGTTTTTGGCGGAAAATTTTATATTCTCATTTTTGATTAAAAAGTATAAAAAATTTTGGCGGGAAAATCACGGATTTAGGTTTTTGGCGGGAAAATTACGGATTTACGTTTTTGGCGGAAAATTTTATATTCTCATTTGTGATTAAAAATTATAAAAAATTTTGGCGGGAAAAATCACGGATTTACGTTTTTGATGGGAAAATTACGGATTTACGTTTTTGGCGGGAAATTTTATATTCTCATTTTTGATTAAAAATTATAAAAAATTTTGGCGGGAAAGTCATGGATTTACGTTTTTGGCGGAAAAATCACGGATTTACGTTTTTGGCGGGAAATTTTACATTCTCATTTTTGGTTAAAAAATTTTAAAAAAATTGGCGGGAAAATCATGGATTTACGTTTATGAAGAGATTAAGACATATATAAACAATGTTACAAGAAACTCCTCTCTCACACATTTCGTCAAACACTTTGAATGCATCTTTTGTTCTTCCATCTTTGCAAAGCTGATTCATCACACAGTTATAAGTACAGTATAGAGATTAGGGAAAACACCATCTTCCTGCATCTTTTCGTACATCTCAAACCCTTGTTTCTTAATCCCATTTTTGAATAACCCATGAATCAAAACCGTGTAAGTCCATTCATTAGCCACTAATCCGAACTTCCCCATCTCAAAAAACAAATCTTTAGCCTTCTCAATCTCACCTTTCTTGCAACACCCATCAATCAAAGAAGTGTAGATAACAACGTTTGGAGAAAACCCAAACTCTCTTAATTCAACAAGAAGATCAAAACTTTTCTCAATCTCACCAGCTTCACAACAACCTTTGATCACAATCCCAAAGCTATACACATCCAAAACAACTTTGCTTTTGCTCTCGTTGAAGAAACACCACCATTGATTGAAAGAAGAAGACCCAACAACGAAAGTTAAGAGATTGTTGAAGCAATTCGATCCAAGAACAAAACCCTTATCGACCATTTCGTTGGAGTAAGAGATTGAGGAATCTAGGGATTGAGATTGAACATAGGCATTGATGATTACCTCGTAGAGACGAATATTGGTTTTTGACGTTTCTGATTCTGTCAAATAGTGTAGCAGAGAGGAAGATGTGAAGAATTGGGATTGGATTTTTCCGGAGATTACTTGAAGGAGAAGTGATTGAGCGTGAGAGTATAAGTTTCCAGAGAGAAGGAGACGAAGAAGGATTGATATGGATTCGTGTGTGTGTTGCAATCCATGGAAATTTGGAGAATTTAAGAGAGAGAAAGCTTTTAATGGAGGAACCTTGATTAGATTTGCTAGTAGAATGAAGGTTTTCTGGGATTTTGCCGCCATGGGTTTAAAACATTGAAGCCATAGCTGAGCTTAATTAAGCATCATGAACAGTTAGGATTAATCTTAGTTTTTTATTATTTTAAAAAAGAAAAGCCCATTTATTATGGGCTAGATTAAACGTAAACCCCATATTATTATATACTAACTCAAATAGCTCTCTTTCTTTAAAAGTGTTTATCAAAACAAAACATTTATAGTTTGTTCAAACCGGTCTTATACACTTGATCAATCATCATCATCATCCCCCTAAACACTAAAACATCATCGTCAAGCAAAACTCATCATATACTTGATGATATCGTCATCATCCTATACACATCAAGCGAACTCATATCCTCCTATACTGAAACTAGAGAAAAGGAACAACTCCAAGTTAGACTCCAAAGTTATCTGGCTTGCCCATGGTAGACTCCGACGTTATGTCATGGATACTCCTGCGTTTCCTCTTATTAATGTCCAATTTTTGCCTTTTGTCATACTTCTGTGCATGGCTTGCTACTTGTATTTTGGTCCTTGTCTTCACAAATTCCCTTGATATCATACTCCAAGCTCCTTTCCCATACTTGTTCAATCCATCCAGAAACAATCTAAACATTCAAAAGCCCATAAGTAACCAAGGTCAAAAACACGATTATTCATCATCTTAATTCAACAATCTAAAGACGTTAATCAGAAAAATCAATCCCCAAGATTATCATAATCAACATTCTTTGTAACATTTTAACTCTTAACTTATACTTAAATCAACAAAATTCTTAGTAAGATTTTATAATCATCAACTCCAGCGACTTTTAATTTCACAATCAAAAGAAACCCTAATTCATAAGTCTTTGACTAACCTGTGTTCCTCTTCTGTCCAAGGAATCCCGTGTTTGGACTGAGTCGCTTCCGTCAGTGACACGTTATCGTCGTCCGGGTACTTGGGTAAAGCATACTTACCCGATTCGACAAGCGCAACATCGTAGACCAATGCGTCGTAGTGGTACTTTACCAACCCCAAAGGTTTCTGCAGAAGCTGAGCGATGTTCTCCAAAAACGACGGCGAGCCCTCCGGGAATATCACCAGGGCTAACTCAAAACGCTTGTCATCGTCCCTCGTCCACGGCGGAATCCAAGCCATAATATCCAAGAAAATGAAGAAAAAATCGCCAAAAAACAAGAAGAATCAAGAAATATCGTTTGTGGATTCTGTCACTGAAGAGGGTTTGTTATTGAGGTGATTTCGCCGGAATATAATAGGAAATTACAAATTTAGCCCGCAATTTATATTATGTTATTGAGGTTTCTTTTTTTTTTTTTCCGTTTCCTATCGAATTTATATTGAGAAATAATAGGGGAAATTGCAAAATTTACCCTCATCTTTTCTTAATTTAACATAAGAAACCCGAGTTAAACGTGTTTACAGGGCCCTTTATCACAGAAAGAAAAAAAGATTACTTTTCAGTAAAAGAAAGAATTCACAAGTATAGCTTCTTATAAAATTTTGGTCTTAGCTCCTATATATATAAACTAGATCATGACCCGCACGTACGTGCGGGGTTTCATATTTTAATTTTTTTTTAACAAAATTTAATTCAATATAGATTATTGTGTTGTTTTATGATATTTATTTTAGTGTATTAGATCTAGATCCACATACGTGTAGAAATATTTTTATAGAAATTGTTATATAGATTTTAAAAATATAAAATATTTTGTTGTATTAGTGAACTTCGTAATAATATAAATATTATAAAGTTAGAGTAATTAACAAAAAATTCAGTTGCATTAATGCATAATTATATTTTAAGATCCGTACTAATTTAGTTGCAAAAGTTAAATGGTGTTACATTTTTATTTTCTTAACTAATCAAAATAGTTCTAACAGTTTGATTACATATGTTAAATAGGATATGAATTCGGTTTTAGTTTGGATTATTTCATGTATATTAGCAAGGCGTAACTATTTTGGAACAGGAAACATATCCTTTCCGGTATCTGTCATAAATTCTTTGTCCCATAACCTGTCACGTACACATAAAATAAAAATATTACGGTCCCATATCTGTCATAAATAGAGTATGTGTAACTGAAAACGTATGTACATGGTTATGTGTAAACAAATTTATTCTATATAGTGCTCATAACCCGAACTCATACCAGTTGGGTATTTAGTTTGATTTTTAATATATGTTCTCCTTCCATCTCGTCTCGTAATTTCTATTTCCATTTTATTCCATTAAAATTATGTTCCAAATTCTTGTTTGCTTACCTTTAAATACCATACAATATTACAATAAATACTGTGAGTTTTGCGGATTAATATGTATGCTGTTAAAGTTATAAATATATTTTAACAAATTTATTAATGTTTCTAGCTAAATTTTGCATATTTTTCTTTTCATTGTTTAATTTTAATTAATTCGATTTTTTGGACTAAAACTAAAATTTGAGATATATCTATAAAAGGGATATGCTATTGCTGCATAATTTGTTTTGAATGCAAAATATATAATTAGTTCACATTATTTCGAAAACTGTGTGCAATATATTATAGAAGATCCGGTTGAGAAGAAAAAAAAAGAAAACACAAAATATTTCGAAATTAATATGTACAATATATTGTTTAGATATTTCTGAAACTTGCTCTAAATGAATGCCCAATATCGTTTTTTAGAAATTGTGAAATAAAATTTTGTTTTATATTTCAAAATTTGTGAAAATATTATAACAAAACTGAGTCTTAAATATTTGTATTTAATTTTTTTTATGAAATTTCAAATTCAATCTTAAAATTTTCCATTGATAAATTTTTTTAAACTATAGTGTTTTTAATTTTGAATTAAAATGGTATTATTTTTCTTTTTTATTTTTGATATAGAATAGTTTATTAGGATTGGTTTAGATTTTAGTTGGATATCAAATCTTAGTTTTTTAATTCTCATTGCTTAACAACTTTTTAGAAAAAAAATTTAAATTTTCGTCCATAATTAATAAGAGAGAGAAAGTGAGTTTAATTTTTTGGAAACTAATAATTACTTTAAAGAATTTTATTGTTTTTTATTTAAATATATTATTTTGTGATTACTATTGTATATTTAATGAATTTATTTAAAAACTAAAATCAATGGCATTTTTGTAATACTTTACACTTTATAAGGTTATTTATGTTTGAGTGCTTCCCAATTAATAGTATAGATTAAATATACTGAAAGACAGATCATTTAATTAGTGTGATCTACTATTCATTTAAAAAAAAAAAAAATATCTTGGCTTTTGTTAATGTTTTGAAACTATTTAAAATAAAAACTAAGATATAATCCTATACTTGATATAATCATTGATTATCCTATACACTTGAACTGTTCCAAGTTATTTTGTTACTTTGGAGAGTAATTAAGGAGATTTCAAGTTATTTTGTTTCCTATTGAACCCCAACTTTATATATACTACTTAACTTAAAAGCTCCATTTAGCTAAGAAGAAGAAACGCAAAAAATAAAAACATTAAAATATGTATTATTTTAATGGTTAAGGAAAATAAAATATAGCTGGCCACAAAAGTAAATAAAATATGGTTTACAAAAATGGAAACCCCAAATCTTTAATATACAACACAAAAATAATCAAGGGCCTTCAATGTCTTTAGGCTTTAATTTTTTTTTTTCCCTCTAGATTTATTATTTATTGTAAATTATGAGAACTGTTACATAAACGATTCTAACTCTGACAATTCCTTCCGACCCTTATTAGATCCACGACAGACGTCACCTCTTTCACCTCCTTCTTCATGCTCACCTCCTTCTTCATGCTCACCTCCTTCACCTCATTCTTCATGCTCTTGATGGACACTTCCCTCTCTGCGTAGAATCCTGGCGAACGGCTATAATTGTACATCGCTGGAGATCTCATGCACACTTGCCTCCAATAATCTGCAAATATATTAATAAATCATAGTATCTGGGACTCGAATCCCAGACCTCTGGGTGTACATTGCTTTAATTTGTTTCATAACGCGTTTTAATTTTTAGTTGTTAATACGGTCATAAAGATTTATATCACTTTGAGTTGGAGGCCTTAGCATGGTGACCGATTTGCATAACAATCGGCTCATATTGTGGCTGCGGATGAACGACGAGACTCTCTTGTTGGCCTGTTGAGCCCACATTGGTGTCCACCATGTCATTTGCTCTCTGTCGTTTCATCACATTTACATCCGTATTCGCCACAGTTATGTCGTTGGCTCTAGGGCGTTTCATCACATTTTTCTCTGAGCTTTGCCAGTTGAAATAGTTATGTGCATATATTTCCACTTGCTTCGGGTTCTTGGAATTCAATAAGACGACTATTTGACGCCAATCTTTCCCAAACCGCTTTAACCCGATCAGAAACCATCTGCATTACAATTTTCCACGAGTTCATATACGTGAGAAATCTGATATTAGCCCATTTTTAATCAAGTTTCACCATGCAATTAGTCAATGATCTTAGTTCAAAAAAAGATAAAAGTAAAATAAACTAATATAGTGTCTAGCTAGATCCGCAAAACAATACCGCTATTCTATCATCAAATGTAAATTCCACTAAGTGACAAAATTCTTTACTCATCAATTATCCTTAATTATATATACTTACTTTATTTTTCATAAAGGGTGTGCTTTATATATACTTACTCATGTGTTTCTTTGTTCCATTTAGTTCTCTCGGCCTGGTGCGAACTTTGAGCCATAGCCTCAGTCAATTTATTAGGAAAAGCAACTCGACTGGATCCCATCTCTAAAAGATCATTGACCATTTCCTTGTAATGCTCCTTAACATCAGCTACCGATTTCTGCACATACTCCGCGATACTCTTGAACCGAGTAGGCAAAAAGGCAGAGAACAACACCAGTGCATTCTTGAACTTCTCGTTCTCCTCTCTCGTCCATGAAGTTTCAGCCATAATTGCCAAAACAAATGAAGGAAAATAAAGTCTACAAAACAAAAAGTTGTGAATCTGGAGAACTATATAACTCTTGTAAGGGATGTAGCAGCTTATAAACAACTCAAGTAACAAAAAATATATGGCTTCTCTTCTCTCTAAGAGAAATTCCTAAAAATGGCCCTAAAACAAGTTTTATTGACAATAATAGCACACACTCCATAAACTTCCAAAAATAGCACTAGTTAGCTTACTATTAGTGTTTTTGTTCTAAAAATTTTATCACTAGCTTTTTTTTTCAATAATACCAAGACTTTTATATAAAAGCTATTCAACAAAATAAATTAGAAATAAATTTAAAATATTATATTTGGGTTCTCTATTTCCAATTTAGGGTATATATTTCTACCATTTAAAAGAGATTTTGATTCATTTTAATATTAGTTTATGGTATTATATTTGGGTTCCCTATTTCCAATTTAGGGTATATATTTTCACCATTTAAAAGAGATTTTTATTTAATATTAGTTTGTGGTATTATATTTGGGTTCTCTATTTCCAAATTAGGGTATATATTTCAACTATTTAAAACAATTTTGATTCAATTTAATATTAGATTAGTGTTTGCACTCTTTTTTATTTTTTATCTTATATTTTCATTAAGTTTAATTGAAGTTTATAGTGCTATTTGTGTAACTTTTCAAATGAGGTGCTATTTTTGGAAAAAATAACTTTTTTGGGGCTATTTGTGTCAATCTCCCTCTCTCTAATTGGGGTGTATTAAGTTTTCTTCCATTTTTTTATTTAAGGGTAATCTATACTATATAAAAGTCGAGGCTATAAGCTTCTGAGGCCGTCCACGTAGGATTTTAAACCACCAATCGCGGTTAGCCACTTCATCGGTTAACATTTTTATACACCACGTTAATTATCATTTTTTTTGAAACTTTCTATATTAAAATATTATTAATAAAAGAAGAAAGAAAACAAGATATATGGAAATAAAATAAATGTAAACTTAAAATAAAAATATGGAATCTATGTAATTATAATTATGTAATATTAAGCTCAGTCCCATAAAATATTTAAAAAAATATATATGGAATCTAATATTAAAAATATTAAGCCCAATCCCGATTAGCTATCTTGCTATAAGCTTCTAAAAACGTCCATGTGGGATTTAAAACGACGAATCACGATTAGCCATCTCACTAATTAACATTTTTAGTCATCACATTAATTAACATTTTAAAATTTTAATTTTTTTCTATATTAGGATATGTATGAATAGGATATATATATATATATATATATATAATAGAAATTTAAAACTTTTTAAAAA